CGAAACAATTTGAATTAAACTTTGATTTTAGACTATTTCTAATAATGTCTAGATTTCGATTATGAATATCCCTCTAATACTGCAAACTAAAGATATGTTTATTATATGGTGAAAACTTTACAATAACATTTTAGAAATAGTTTTACTTAGATGAAAAAATCAGATTTATTTCGTCCCTGAATAGATGATATAGATACATGTACTGGCATCAACATGATCAAGATCAAGAATGTTTATGACTTTGCAACACCGTGTGAATCCGCCACATGTGTTTCTAATCATCGATGACTGCGAGGTTACGCTGACCGCACGGGGATGTTTAAAGAGACAGATAATGGGAATCCCAATTTTTCAGAAATTAAATTCGTTAAAGGAAAAAATTCAATCATCATAACAGTCTTGAAGCAAGTCCCGTCATGACGGTATAAAGGGAAAGGGCGAGTTTTGAATCAGACTGGTTGACATAATTTAACTAACCATGGGTACTTGAGGATAACCCAACAGTATACCTACCCTAATACTATTCAGTTATGCCGCACAAGTTTTCTCCCTCTAAGAAACGCCAATAAAATGTCTAATCGATATAGGACGATATCTGATTAAAATGACTGATTCAACAAGCTGATTTCAAGAAAGAAATCTCCATTTTTGTCATCGATTTCTATGTGTTTTGGGAAACACCTATGCCCCCGTATGACATCATACTGCAAGATCGAGGTTTTAGGTTAAAAATGTTGTAATCATTCAAAGAAAGGTCTTGTCACAAGAAATATTCATAAAAGTCTAGCACCAACCGTTCAGAATTTATGGCAAAATTAAAGTTTTTAAAAAAGTAAATCAATGTCACGGTAATGAAGTCAAAATTTAAAAATGATTGCACCCAAAAGAAAGCCTTGTCACAAGAAATACAAAATGTAATTTTTGAGAAAAAAAAAATTAAACATGATTTTTGCAAACATTAAACACCTTTTTATGAAAATACAGTCAAGGTATTCGGACCAATTAAACCACTTTAAAGCCCTTGTGTTTACCATTTTTTAAAAGTTTAACTCCACGGTCAAGGCAAGAGGTCCAAATATTTGTATAAAAAGAAAGGTCTTGTCACAAGAAATATACACGTAAAAGAAAGTATGGAACCAATCATTCAAAAGTGGAGGTCAAGGTTAAAGTTTGTTTTAAGTTTTAAGTGGAGGTCAACTCCACGGTCATGAATTAAAAAACGTTAGTATATTACAAGGTTGTTGCAAGGAATACATAATAGTGAAATATGAATCTTAGGAACCGTCTAAAAGTTGATATAGCCAAGGTCAAAGTTTGTTTGTTTTTTTTGTTTGTTTGTTTGTTTGTTGATATTTTTTGTTGGGGGGGGGGTTAGCCAGATAGACAAAGCCAAATAATTATATGTGAGCTCTCGAATTTAAGGATCCCCAAAAATCAGATAATAAATAAAAACTATAAATAAAACTTGGTATGGAAAAGGATATTGTCAAAGAAATAACTTTCCACAGGGGAAATAAATTTCTTTACACATTGTTTTTCGTGTATTTTTGAATTTCGCGGTATCCTGAAACTTTTTAAATAATGACACCTCCCTACTTTCAAAATCAACCGGAAGTGAAATTAGTAGTCTCAAATCTCTGTATTTTTAACTTTAAATATAGCAATTGTTTCTTTTTATGTTAAAAAGTTATATAAAAATGAAGGAAAGATGTGGTCTTCTGTGTGGTTTATGAAAAAAGTGTTTATCAGCTAAATACGCTAAAATGCAGTTGTAGAGATTTCTGGCAACCCGCCATTTTGAATAAAAATCAACAAACTTCTTCATGCGTGCACATCAACATGGGAATGTCAATATGCAGACTGTCTCATAGATCTGTCTTGCAGTTGAGATAGAATATAATAAATCACAGATGAAATAATGGAGGTAATATTTGTTGTTAATCAGTTATCTTGAATTTTAAAATCTAACATCTTGTATGAAAGAGAACTGAAGTGTTAGTCGATAATGTTTTATCATTATGCTCAACGAACCACACTCTTCATATCATTAGCCACCTGTTGTTTGTTACTAACCATCATATCATATAAAATTTTTAGTGTGGTCTTATTGAAACAAAATATCTGGTGTAGTTGAACATCTGAATCGTATTATTTTACTTTCAAGTATACGATGCAGTTGTAGGTGTTATTGCTTTACCAGGTCTGGTACAATCACTAGATTTAGCTACGTAGCTTGATTTACCTACATAGCTTTATTTACCTACCTGAGGTAGCTTTATTTAGCTACCAAATTGATCTATTTCTATTAAAAAGCATTTTTCTCAGGGTGTGTTATGTATGACAGTTAGAACAGTTACTCCTTGAATGAAATGACAAAGAAGTCCAGTTCCGGTTAACACGATAATAGGTCGGTAATCGTTCAGCACAATGTGAAGTAATCATACTCAGTCATGCCTCACCACACCTCACCGTATGGTCAAATATAAACCAAACAATGGAATTACATGTTTTGCTCTAAATTGTCCAAACGCAGCAATGTGTAAACTATCTCTGCTTTGAATTGTTTTGAAAAGCCTCCCTATTATAAATATCAATAGTCATTTAATTGCGACTTTTTGTCTCTTTTTAATAAGAAGAAAACTTTTGAAAACTTACCTTGAAATAGCTAAATAAAGCTACCTGAGGTAGGTAAATAAAGCTACGTAGGTAATTCTACCTACGTAGCTAAATCTAGTGATTGTACTGGACCTGTTTACATCATGTTTATGTTGTCTCCTGTTGTTCTTGTTATGTAGAATTTTAACAGATATAAGTACATATTAAAGTATGGAAAGACATGAACTGCACATGTACTTGTTCAAAGATTTAACTGAAAACTATGCCGTGTTAATTCAAGAATTCGTTTATGCACTCATCTTTCATATTTTTGCTTGTATATGGCAACATTCATATAATGTTTCAACATGTTTAAGACTCACAAAGTAGCTCTTTTTTGTAATTAAAAAGTGTTTGATTTTAGCATTTCTCTTGTTTCTAATCAACCTAGTAATTTCACATTTTGGTGTACTAAATGACTAAAACAAAACCCAGATGATTCGGTCTTGCATTGGCAAGCATTATGATCATTATTCTAAATGTATATGCTAAAGTGGTCACTTACAACTTGAAACTGTCAAGATTAGGGGTAAAGGCTGTAAGCACATCATATTTCACTTTTACTTATCTCAGATGCTCATTGCAAATGTTGTTTACTTGTTTGTGCAAATAAGGAATTTAGTTGTAAGCTTCTGAAATCATCTGGCACTGCCTTGTCATTAGGGCAGAAGAATGAAAAAATATGAAGGTCAGTTTTGTTGCTCTGGTTTTTTGCGCTAACTGCGTCATGTTGTTGCATGAGCTAGGAAGTGAGAAGCCCTGTTGAATACCTTAGGCTATCTAAATTTAATTCCCTGGTTCTCAGGCCAATTTTCTCCAAAACAGATGCGGGACTGGAAATCTGCAAATTTCGTTTTTTCATTTTATTGGCAATAAAGTAGATGAGGGAGGTATTTTTTTCAAAAATTTTAAACACGAATTTTCTTTAACATAAAGATAACTTTTTAAATCACAGATATACTTTCCATTTCCAAAATTTTCTGCTTTATCCATTGCTTAACAGCGTGTAAACATCGTAGGTAATGTCCTAAATGTATTTTCAAACGAAGTAGCCAAAATCTCATTGTAAATGACTACCGGAAGTGATATTTCACTTTTACTTAAACTAAGAAACAAATCATGTTGTTTATTTTTTTTGCAAATAAGGAATTTGTTGTCTTTTGCAACACCAACTTTTTATTTTATCAAAAATACAATAAAATCGGCAATGTGGCTACCTCAAAACGGATACGCGCGGGCCTGAGAACCAAGATTTCAATTTTATATGGCCTTATTACAGTTCCATCAAATGGCAAAGTTTTTAGGTTAATTGCTGGTCCAACAGTCAACAAAGAGACCTTGCAGTAAATTCATAATAAGAACAAGGGATACTATATCTTCATAATATTTTGAAACTTGGGCATGAGAAATTTCACATGGATTATGGATATCATTGATTCTGATTCAATCCCTAATTGTAGGCAAGGAGGTGCATTTGTGGATAAGAGCTTTTTATTTCCTAAGTATGATGTTAAGTTGCTCCTGAGGAAGTTGAACAAGTAGAAGATTTTCATTAGTTAAGAAGAAGTTGAACAGTATATTAAATCATATCGTATGTTAAAGCACTGTTGCATAAGTTGTCAACAGAGTGCCGATGCATAATACACTAGTACCGTTACTACAAGTCAGATCAAGTGCATTGGAGAAGTAGTGGGTCTTCCGTATTTCACACATTCCTAAGTGGATTTGGTTATCACTTAAACTGACTGCACTTCAGAGCTGTATTGACTGGGTAAATATGCTATAAATGGACAGAAGAATATAAATTTTTGGCTGCATTGGAATTGGTTGCTGTGGAAGCTCAATAAAACATGAATTCTGATGCCTATATGGTAATATAATTTTTCTTACAACCCAGTAAGTTTTTTTTCTTCTCAATTTTCCAGTCATAAGCATTTACCGGTAAAATCAAGATAGTTTGGAAACAGTTTACAATGTGTTTACTAGAAATGTTTTGTTTTGCATTATAGTATAGTAAAAGAACTAACAAATGCAGTTAATAAAAATGCTCTTAATCACATGTAGTATTTACAGTTTTATGATATGTTTAGTTTGTTGACTGCAATAATGACCAGTTAATTGGTCCAAGTGTTTGTAGAGATAGTAAAAAGGATATATAAGTATAGACGTTAATGTGTAATGATGGAGATGATGTTCATGAGAGAATGACATTCATGAGCTTGATGTGCAATTATCAACTGATCTGTAAATATGATATGTACCTTCACACATCTGCACAATGCAGAACATGGACAAAGCACATAACAAAGAAACTGTATGAGACATGATCAGGATCATGATGTCAAGTCCTTATGTTCTAGGAAGCTTTTATTAATAATTTGTGTGTTCTGAGGACAAAATGTCACATTAGAAGTCGGGCTGCTTCAGTATTTAAGGGGGTCAGTTTATGGCCAGTTAAGGCGTCTGGGACTGGCAGAACAAGTGTTGTTTCCTGTGAGTTTTATTTGTGTAATGCCCAGGGATTTTAACACTATGCTCTTGTCTTTTTGTGGAGAGGGTTTTTCCTGGGAGGAAATAGAAAGGATGGAGGAAGTGAGTTTTTTTTTAATATCTGGTAACAGATTTTAAAACTTTATCTGTGATGGTATTGAAATAGATTCAATTTTTTTATGTGCCCGGATCGATAGGAACAATATATTATTTTGTCCTGTCCGTTTGTCTGTTTATCTGTTTGTCTGTTTGTCTGTCTGTCTGTTGTCAACTTTAACCTTCGCCATAACTTTTGAACCATGACAGATAGAGACTTCATATTTGGTATGCATAGTCCACCAATGAAGTTCTTTCAAATGACACCAAGGTCAATGACCTTGTGACCTTGACTGTGACCTTTATGCTAAAAATAGATTTTACAAACTTTCTCCATAACTTTTGAACCATGACAGATAGAGACTTCATATTTGATATGCATACTCCACCAATGACGCTCTTTCAAATGACACCAAGGTCAATGACCTTGTAACATTGACTGTGACCTTTATGCTAAAAATAGATTTTACAAACTTTCTCCATAACTTTTGAACCATGACAGATAGAGACTTCATATTTGGTGTGCATACTCCACTAATGAAGTTCTTCAAATGACACCAAGATCAATGACCTTGTGACCTTGACTTCTGAAAAGGTTTTAAACATTTTTTGAACAAGTGTATAAGTATGTCTATGTGATAATGATTTTATTGTTCAGTTAAGTTTTAAAGTCAACAGAAAAATTCCAAAGAATATGTGTGATGTTAGAGCTTTAATAAATAAATCCAGTCCTTGTATTACGAAGATAAAATATTTACATTTGTTTCCAAAGTATATTTAGTCTAAGAGCAGACAACTTGTGGTATATTTATTGCACTAAGTAGCTGGGTCATGTACATTAAGGGAAATTCTGGCCATTTAAATTCAATACACTGAAATTTTTATGGATATAATTGAAGGATAGACAAGAAATCTGATGTTGAAGTGACAATTTGGGGGTTTCATTTTCAAAAGACTTTACGGGGAGTGTCATTGCAGGACTGGTGTTTATTTAAATTCAATTTTCAACAGGAACCTACATGCCTAGTTTAGTTTTTTATGGGATGATAAAATGTTGTCACATTTGCCAAGCTTTAGGAATTTCTTTCAATTTAGGAATTCATCTTAGCTCCATTTCATAGGACATAAACAGCAAATTGGAAAATAACTGACTGTGAAATTGGATTTTTTTTTCGTCTTTAGTAATATAATATGCATTAAGGATGCAAATGGAGATTACATAATCTGGAGTTCTTGGAATGATAATGTTACTCTTTAAATGTGATGGGGGTATAGAGAGACACTTATAAAGTTGGGTGTTGGATTTTATTTTACAAGATGTCGTCAGAGTCTAGCTCTCCCTCCAAAACCCCCGAGGACGAGGGGTCCAGATCATGGGAGGAGTGGCAAGTAAGTCTTACTGAAAGTTACTGAATGTCTGACTGCTAGTCACTGAATGACTTACTGTTAGTTACTGAATGGCTGACCGCTAGTATCTGTACTGTGAGAATATCAGTCTCTCTCTCTCTGTTCACATTTTTTTCTTTGGTTCATTTCTGTGATATATCATAGCCTTTTGCATGGATTGTATACTTTGTCTACTTCAATATTAGATGTTGACCCTTGTAATGTATGTTAGATACCAAAACAAAAATCATTCATCAAATTCTTGTGACTTTGAAAAAATAATGGTGAAATATGAAAATAGATCTTTTTCCAACACAAAAGGTTGGGTTGTACCTTAATTTGGCTGTCAATGTATATACGCTGACTTATATTTTGAAATGACTCATCTAGTAAAACATAATAAGAATTTCTGTCTGCATTGTAAGAGATCAATATTGCGTACAGAAGTTGCTCTTGTTCTGGGATACTGCATAACATTGTGCACATCACCAGGGCTTCCAAAACAAATTATGTCTATGCATGTTTAAATATACCAATGTTTGAAAGATAGAGAACTTCTTTCTTCATAATTCATTTGTATGATAATGAATCTAGTGTAACAAAAATTAAATCTTTTGTAAGAAAGAAAAAAGGCACACTTGTTGTTTTCAAGAGATATTGATTACTGGGTACCTATAGACTTAATAATAGCTTTAAACAATCAACAAAATATTAACTGTTTATGGCATTCTAAACATGGATCTACAAACTTGTGAACTATCCATAAGAATCTGCACTCTGTCTTAATTTATACAAACTGATTTGTCCCCTTTTGTGATAGGAGGCTATGATAAAGTTGTCTCCCTTACACACACAAAAAAATAAACCTACAGGCAGATCTTTTATGATTTAAATAAACGGGACCTGTATGCAGTCATTATGAATCATATCAAATTGTTTGTTTTCTGTGTATTTACAAAGACTGCATTATGGGTGATATTATTAGTACCCACTTGTGGTAAGGCGTGTTACACAATGGTCTCTATTATTGGGGGGACTGGCTATAGAGCTAGATAAACATGATCTCGAATTGCCCTCGTCCTCAAACCTAATCATCGATCAAGATAGATCCTTTTTCACTCGATTGAAGTTTTTTCAATTTCACTTTGAATGGTTTAAATTGAAAACTATGAAGAACTTGTTTGAACGTAATAGATTTGCAAGTGAAGTTAAATGGAAAAAAGGTCTATTTAATATGAGCAGTAATTGTGTCATAAAACTGACAAAAGAAAAGATATTTGAGTTTTATTGAGATCATGCTTGGGTTTTAAATGTAGATTTACAACTGATATATTGCATTTGGTTACTGAGAGATGAAAGAAGTTAAGAAAACTATGCAGATTCTTTTTGGGGACCCTTTTCAATAAATTACACAGTTATCTCTGAATTTGCAAAATATGGCATGTTTTTGTAGTTGAAATGGAAGCATATACAAGTACCAAGAAGCATGGCATGTTACTGATAAAAGCTTTCCACTTGGCGCATGTTCTACATGTATTACTGTAATAGTCTATTAGTCTTCTCCGCTATGATATAGAATGCTCTTTATCTGTAATTTATAGGAGACATGATGAAAATGATTATCAGATAGGTTCATTAACGAGAATTAGTAAGACAGGTAACCTGGTTTTCCAGTGAACAGAAAATATGTGTACATTACTGTCAAAGGGAATGTGTTTAATACATGTAACTGTTACATGTACAGTACTTGTTTCTCTTTTGAGCTGAAAGATAATGTGAACATCTTGCATCAAAATTGGTGGATCTTCATACTTGTCATGGTTAATATAACTCTGATAAACACTAAACTAAAGAATTACTGTTAAAGAAGTGCTTGATGGATTTTGACTGATCAATTTATGAAATAAACCATGTTTAACCAATGCATATTTTTTTTTTAAAAATTGAGATAAAAGAAATTAAATATTTTCCTTTTCTTTGACAGAACCAGCTGCATGCTTATGTAGCATGGGTAAACTCGCAGCTGAAGAAGAAACCAGGAGTGCGTCAGATCGAAGACCTGAGAAATGACATGAGGGATGGTGTGGCCATAGCAGAGCTGATAGAAATTGTCTGTAAGTAACCAGTAAAATCAGTCATAAAAGGCCACCATCCCATCACATGAGGGATGGTGTGGCCATAGCGGAGCTGTTAGAAATTTTTTGTATTAAGAAATCAGTTAAAATCAGTCAAAAAAGGCCACCATCCCACCATATGAGGGACAGAGTGGGCATTTGATATGGTACAAATAAAAATCGTCTGTAAGTAATCAGTAAAAAAAAGCAACCATTCCACCATATTCCTTTACTGATAGTGTGTCTTAGTTAGACACTACTGTCTATAACAGTTGAACTGAAGGAATCTTGAACACTGAGATATCAAATACCATGGAAATGACAAAGTGAATTAAAGCCCCAACCACTTATTTTACATTATTTTGCCCCTGATATTTTGACTCCTTGAATATTTCTCACTTTTTTCTTGTCCCAACAAGTTTGAAATAATGAGATTGAACTGTAGTTTACTACTGTATATAGTTGATTTTATAACATTTCAAAAGAAGTTGCCCCCTTGGACTTTTGGTTGTTTGAATGTTTTTTTAAAGTCATGTACCAGAAATAATTTTACTGTTTGAAGCTTATAAATAAGTAACCATATATAATTTGATTACACATATATTTTAAAGAGTTTCTGCCTTAAGCTGAACTAAATATAGACTGAGACATTTATTTTTGATTCATGAATTATAAATGGTATGTGTATTCAAAAATCAATTTATGTTTCAAATGCTACTGTAGCATTGGTGAACTTTATTAATTTAAAAATTAATACTACTCAATATAACCCTGAAAATGATAATCAGTGATCCTTTAAAAGAATAATTGATTACCATTTTCAGCTCCATATTAAGATAAAATATAAGGTTAAGAAATATTTTGAAATCCTGATATATTTTAAAATCTTTTCAATTTGAATGTTATCTTTGTAAATGATTATTAGCAAGTTGCACATAATATAATTAGAGTTAGGTATATATTTTTTTTTCAAAAATTATGCTTTGAGTCATATTTCTCCTGCTCAAAGAATTTACTTTTGATTCAATGGCTACCTACAAGTAAACTAGCCATTTAAGAAAAGCCCTGACCAAGTTAGTACATTAATCTGATTTTGGGGATTAATGTTATAGTAAAAGGAGATAAAGACACACTGTGTAGTAGCCCTGAAATAGATTAGGAGGGCCTTAGCAGGTGTAGTATGTCTACCTGACATTGATCTTGTTTATTGTTCATTGAAAGCAAGAGGTTTTTAAATCTGATCGACCTACCTTATTGACAGCGGGGAGTAGTCATTATCTCAATAGATAATTGCTTTGGAGATAAAAATCTATGTCAACAGAGCTATTAGAGATCAGAAAATATGATTAAAGGAAGTTCTTAAGAGCATACTCGATCTGAAAAGGTAATAATTTTAAGTGTAAAGGGAAAATACCCAGGTAACAATTTGGAGTAAACTGTTGTAAAATTTTTAAAAGAATCCAATTGAATCCATTAAAAGTTCATATTTCACAGGGATTTTGTTACTTATATTATTTATTTTTTTTCACCCAAAAAATTGCTATAATCTGTGTCATTAAAAGAGCATTTTGTTATTGATTTGTTTTAGAGACATTTGAATTTCGAAATTGATATGATATGATAATCATTTCAAGTATCAGTAACCATATTTGAATTCAATATTTGAAAGACTCCTAAACAGTATTGATTACAAGAAATGGATCTTACTGTCTAGTCACTTTATTCATCATCAAGAATGGGCAAAATTAGTATGTCTGTATCATTTTACAATTAAAGAATATACATTAAAACACACCTATAATGAATTGCCAGGGATAGACAATTTTCCTTCGTTATAGGTGTAATTTGTTATACATGTATCGGACTATCCAGAGTGTCAGCAATATATTTCAAGGTCATTGGGATTGACAAAAAATATGATGACAGTATATATTATGTGTCTTAGAAGGTATCAACATCTGTAGTTAGTATTGTAATACAATGTAGTAAAGTGCATCTTCATATTGATCTGGGGGGAAAAAGTGGTACTTGGCAAAGTTAAACTTGGCCAGCTCTGTGTATTTGCTTGTTTCTGTATTTTTTTTAATAATAGAAACTTATATAAGCATTATTTATACAATGTCTTCTAAGTGGTTACCATTTCTTTTTAGCTGGTGAACATTTGAATGGAATTCACAAATGTCCTTCCACAACAACAGAAATGAGGGAAAATGTTGATCGAGTGTTACAGTACATGGCCGAAAATCGAATCCGCATGCACCACACAAACGCTAAAGGTATATACAGTAAAATAAAACCGCAATAATTGTTTTGCTTAGATGAAAAGAATTATTGCTTAACAATAAATATATATCCCTACAGCCAAATTAATGTTATTTCTTCACTATTGAATTCTGCAGCAATCGAAATTTATATCCTGGGGAATGGGTGGAAAATTTGCATGCAGTGAAATCAGTTCAATTGTGATAGTAAAAAATCAATCTGAACTGTAAACAGTGTGTTTCATTTCAGCTGAAGGGTAAACATGTCTGAATTTTTGTTCTATTTCAGACATTGTGGAGGGCAAGTTGAAGAGCATCATGAGGCTGATTTTGGCCTTGGCTGCTCATTTCAAGCCCCAGTGTGTGAAACATTCCACCCACCAAAGGAGACCCTCAGGATCTGCAATGACTGGTCTTGTTCAGGTGAATAGAGTGTAAAGGTCAAAGTTTGCAAGCTATAGGTCAATGTTTCCTGACTTAAGGTCAAAGTTAATGAGTATTTGATAGACTGCCAATTTATCTGCCTATAGCTAATCATGGAAAAGGTCAGAAATGAATTTATATTTAGTTAATGTTCTAATTAACAACATTTCCAGTGTATGCTAATCAGAAATAATGGACTGATGAGAGGTCATTGTATTGATAGAAGAGAATTTGACATTCATTTGAATATTTAAGAGCAATGTCACAGATGTTGATGGTGATATTGTATTGATTTTAGGGAGCGTCTGCAGCATTGACAGAAGCCCGCAGAAATGCTGCCAAGGCTGGTAATAGCTTCAGGCGAAACAGACCACCCACCAACTACGCTGATAGGAGGTTTGTTTTTAAGGTTGAAATTAGAACAAAGCTTTTTACTAAAATTTAATTTTTTTACTTTAATACTGTGCAGTGAAGCTGCTGTGAGAAGCAACATTGCAAACCAAAAAGCAGAATTTGAAGAACAAAGTCTTTTCAAATGTTTTACATGATGTCTTATTTTCAGAAAAACCTATCATGGTAGCAGTTCAGACCAGCTAAGTGATTCAGACCAAAGTTTTGGGGACCAAAGAAAATCCCTCTTTGGGCGGGATGAAGGGGATGGAGCCAGTGCTGACAAAAGCCCCATTCCTAGTGCTCGAGTACCCAGCTCTATGACCCAGCATCCAGCAATCAGGGGTACACCCCTCTCCAAAAGCCATTCCTCTGATCATATATCAGGTATTAAAAAAAGATAGATCATATAAAATATACTTAATGTAAAAAAAAAATTGCATGTTCTATGCTCATAATTGTTCCTTTTAATGTTGCTCTAAACACCCTATGAATGTATGAGCCAGTTACAATTCAAGTTTAAAAATTAACCCTTCTTCTCAATTTTTGTGATAATTAAGTTCATGTATATGAAATGTCTTACAGCAAAGGACAGTGGGACAGAATTAGAGGACTCAGGGTCTAACTATGTGGAACGCTCACATTTTGATGACCTAGTTTCTGAATACATAGATGTGTATGATGATATGAAACATACCAAAGATGACTTACTCAAATTACAAGACTTGGTAAGTTTTTTCAGCAAAGAGGTACAGTAAGACTTGGTTATAACGAAGTCACTGGGACCTATGAAATTACTTCGCTATATCAGTAATTCGTTATATCAGTATCAGTGCTCGAGCTGTGATTCGCCATTGTCGCCAATTGCGAATTTTTTTCAGAAGTGGCGAAAAAAAATTCATAAGTGGCGAAAATGAATTTTTTAGATGTACCATGTACAAAATTTGAGTAGTCCTGGTTAGCTCCTTTGTTTATTCAATGTATGCAGATAGGTCCCTCTGTTTATTTAATGCAGCAGAGGTGTGAAAACCGAAACCTACATGTAGGAAATCACGTCTCGCTTGAACGAACACAGCTGACTAGGTAACTAGCCTTGAGCAAAATAGGGTTACAAAATTGCTTGAAATAATATAATTTTGATTAAACAAGGGGGGATAAAGTGTTATTAGAAGATGAAGTTTATAAAAAAAAGATTTTTATCAACAAAATATGGATCTATGTAGATCGTTTTTTTTAAACCGAAAGTAGGGAAACGTGACGAAAATTGTAAAGAATGGCTTCAAATTTTATCTAGTGAAAAATAAAAAATGTGTACATTAAACAATAAACTGAAAAAGAGTGAAAAAGAAATTGGATTGAAAACAGAATAGTAAATTACTCTGAATTATGTACATTTACATGAGCTTGCATATTAAACCCTGGAGTCTCCAAGTTGATAAAATAAAGTTTGTTAACCTATTTTTCATTAGGGACCTACTTTTTAAATTACTTCTTTTCACAATTAATTAATGAAATGAAAACTAGCATTTTTAAAAAATTTCATATATTTTTACTAGGTCTATAGCCCCCCCCCCCCTTCCCAGGCGAAAAAAAATTGTAATCAAGAGGGCATTTTCTGTCAAGAGTTGCCTGATATCAATTCAAATTAATTGTATTTTTTCAACATTCTTTTTTTTTTTAATGGATACTATCATAAGCTTTAAACATAACAATTTTAAAATAAATGCCTGTTATAAATATAATTTTTAAAAAATGAATAAGAGAAAGTGCATTGCATTGTCTGGAAATCAGATGTAAGTATGCCTTTCCTTTTGTCGCGAAAAGTGGCGAAAAATATTTTTGGTCCAGTGGGAGCCCTGATCAGTATAAGGAATTCTTTAAATTTATTTAGCTGAGGTAAACTTCGCTATATCCGTGAATTTTTAATATCCGTGTTCGTACTAAATGAGCTTTACTGTAAATGTTGCCATGAATTATTTAAATACAGCAGTGCAAAGTCATTAAAATTGACTTGCTCCTGTTTTCTTTTGTGAACTGTGAAAAAAAATAGTACTTGGTAATCACATTGAGTTGGTGTTTTTGAAAGATTACTTATCTTTAATGAAATTTAAGAAGAAAAAATAGGGATTAATTATTCATTTCATGCTTATACATGTATTTTCTTCTTCATTCTATCTATGTTTAATTATGCTTGTTATGGCAAAAAAAAAAATAACCAATTCACAATGCTATTATTATGTTGTACAGTTATTATGTGGAGAGCCACCTGATGGTGAAGAGGGAGATAAATCTGTGATGATTGGGTCTAGTCCAGAGGAACAAATTGTAAGTGACTGGAGTTATTGTCATGAGTGAATGACTATCATTTACAAGCAGTAATGTGTAAGGAATATTTTAATGACCAGATAAAAATTGAACTGCATGACTAGATTTATCAATTGTTTAAATTTGTGACTGTGGCACGTTTTTTTTCTGCTGCTGGAATCTTGTATTGTCAAGTAATTTGAAAATTAAAACCATGCCATTTTCTGAATTTGATTACTAAACCCTGGCAAATATGAATTCTTCCAGTGCCTCCAGTACTAGTATTCACAAAGGGATGTATAATTGTTGTGATCTTGTTTAAGGTTTTACCATTGACTTATATTTCTGATCTCATTTTCAGGCAATATTAAAAAGTCAGTTACTACAGTCAACAATAATACAAAACGATTTACGAGAAGATTTGTCTCGGACAAAGAATGAATGTATGCTACTACAGGGAAATAAGGTGAGGTTTTTGAATCCCTTACATTTCATTTATGTTCGTATTAATTACGATGAAGCAATGAAGATGGACATTCTAATTACGATGGAGATGATGTTCTAATTTTCAATGGATGGAACACTGATTGGCTGACATTGTTTTGTAGGGAGGGTTACAGCAAAGACTATCAGAACAGGATGAAACAATCAGCCAACTAAAGCAGGAAATCTTACGGAGGGACTTTGACAAGCAAAATACAGAATTAGAAAAGGTAAAAAAAAAAAAAAAGAATTAATCCTAGAGTTTTGTAAAAATTTATTATTAATTTCCTTAACCGTGTACAAAAAAACAAGGTCATGTTATCTCTTTTTTTTCCAGATTGAATTGAGGAAAAATGTACAAGAAAGAGACAAGACGATATTAGATCTAAAGGTAAGAATACATTTATGCATGTACTTTAAATGCAAGCATGAAACATTTGTTGACACTTTTTGAATAAGGTTCAGTTGTCTTTGATCGATGATGGAAGAAAATTGAAATGTGTGCCTCTTTGGTAGTATTGGTTAACAATAATTTGTTTGATATGCTTTACAGAGGGACATGGCTAGAAGGGACCAAAGAATTGACCAACTTCAGAATGACCTACAAATGCAGATCCAGGAGAAGGAGTCAATCACTAGAGCTCTAAAGCAAAAAATCTCTGAACTTCACGACCGACTGAGGGTGGTGGGAGAACATGGGGTAAGCATTTTCTCTAAATGAGATGTACTGTAAATCACTTTTTATTCGCGAGAACTTTATTTTCGCATAATTACGCGAGACAGTGAGCTCGCGAAAATTTTATTCTCGCGTATAATAGTATTCCTTAAGATTATATAGAAGAATAACCACAATTCGTGAAAATTATGTCTCGATAATAAAGAGTCGATGACTCTCTCGCGAAAATAAAGTGTCGCGAAAATATAGTGATCTACAGTATTATAATTGTGCTTTGAACACCTGTGCCCACAGTAGAAAGTTAAAAACTTTGAATGATTGTAGGAAATAGTTTTTAGATGCATGGTAAATAATACATGTACATCGCTGTTTTTGCAGGCCAATTTGAAGGCAAAAGTGGCAGTTCAAGATAAAAGGATGGCAAAGTTGGAGGGAAAGATTCTGTCTTCATCAGATAGAGATTCCTCAGTGTCTTCACAAGTAAGATGTGATTATTTGTAAAACATTGATGCCAATTCATTATTTAGTAATTCAACATGCATCCAGAAGAATTCCTTAATTTATTATTTGGTGATTTAGAAGAATTCTTAAGGTTCAACACTACTCTGATAAGAGATATAACTATTAGTGACATCAGTATCTTTTATTCCTTTATAACTTTCTCAAATTGAAATGGTTTATTAATCTGATTTGGCATAGCAAACTTTGGTATAATTGTTAGTATCTTACTTACAAATGTACTTTTTGCTTTGAATAATCATAAGAGTTAGGGTAACATTTCATGTTAATGATAAACTCCATTATTTGTTTGACAGGGTAGTGTAGATGACCATCAGGTTGTGAGGGACGCCCTGAACAGTTTACGGGTCAGCTTTAAGGGAGGGGATCCACAACTCCACACCCTGGACACCTTAGAACAAAGCGTGTCCTCCCTCCTAGAGAAAAACCACCAAAATAACAGTACATCCAGTAATGGAAGTCACCAGGTGTGTAGTAAAAAGGGGGAAAAAGAGCAAAAAATAGGGGTAGTATTTAATTGGATTTGGCTAAGAATTTTTTTATTGTTCACAGATGTAAAATCACATTTAGCACTTCCGCAAAGCGTTATAACACTCATTATATGAAAGCATTTTATATAAAGTGTTTTTATTTTTTTTCCCTTAATGATGGATTTTTTCCTATCTTTCATTGTAAACTTACTTTAGACCAGTGATAAATGATTGATGAAATAAGATTCCAAAGTGCAATTTCTCTCATTTGCATTCTTAATATCTTTTTCATCCATCATGTGTCAATTGAAAGCTGAGATTAACTATGCTAGGTGTTTCATTTATTGCAGAATTCTTACACCAATAATTCTTCACGGAGAATCAATTTTGACTCCACGGGTGATGTTAGGCGATCACCTATTACAGCTATACCAGGTAGTACAAGTGAGTGTATTTAGTTTGCAGTGATCACATAATACCTTGGTGGTGGATCACAATGGGTGGACTTAATTTGTTGTGTTTTGATGGATTCAAGGTACTATATTTCTTTACTACACCATATTCTGGTCAAGGAGGTAATCTGTCAAAGGGGACATTTGTGTGATCTTGTTCAAAGTGCCCACTTTCCACCATTATTAACCTTGGTCTTGCATGCAAGTAGAATAACTCCATAAATGGTTAATGTTGAAATGAGATTTCAAATACAGAATGCATACGTGTACCTGGTATTTATCCATGTAAATCTATAAATTTAAAGGAAGAAAAGTAAATCATAACATGATGTTGAAAAGAAAGATTACTCACTGCATTATTTATTTTCATTTTGTATTACAGTTGTGTATAATTGAGTCAAATATTGTAGGTTTTTCTGTCAACCAGCTAGATGGGCCACCAAATGGGAATATCAGTAAAAGCCAAAACTCCACTAAAGTGCTATATTTCACAGACAAAACTGTCAATCCATGCATGTGTACAATCCATAAAAGGTATGTGGTATTAGCTTACCCCGATATTTTTCTTACAAGGAAACGATAAATTATTACATCATGTGTCTGTTGTGTCAGGAAAATGGGAAGGCATCAGCATTCATCTGTCTTGAGCTTTTTGTGTCCAAATCATATGAATGTGGGTTGTCTAACTCTGACAGATTTGGAAAATAAGAACTTTTTGAGGGATTATAATATTGCTTTTGAAGTTGCAAGTATATACAACACACGGCACATAGGCATAAATTCTGTGTATTGTATGCTTCAGCAATTTATCCACTTAAAAAAAAAATTCAGTGTCTCTTTCACATCCTGTATAATTTGAAAATTTTAATTATGTATGATATGTACATGTATCAAAGTGCTTTTACAATTATGTTCATGCAAGACTTGCAGTAAAAAAGTTTTGAGACACTCTTTGAATAAGGATTACATTACAAACGATAAAAATTTTGCAACTAATGCATGTTTTAGAGAGTTTTGCATAACATTAAATATTGAAATAATGCTATGAAAAAACATTTCCGAACTTTTACCTAAAGTATTTCTTTACCAGGACACAAAATTCTAAAGAGAGCTCAGTTTGAGAGGTTGGGTAGGTAGGGTGTGTTATTGGATTGATCTAGTTACATGTAATTAGGTAGCGTGCTCCTTGCCAGACCCTCATGTAATCATTGTGTTGTGTTTTCTTAAGTCTTGACACCTTTGTATATATTGGTAAAAGGCAGCTGTGTGCTCTGCTGTGAAAAAAAGACATCATTGCTTTAAAGGGAAATGCCTTCATCCTGGCTTTAAAAGGAAAAAAAATCTTTATATATATCAGCTTTCACATCAGTGTGTTTATAAAAAAGCCATGAGTACCTACCAAAAATGAATTAATATTTTTGAAAATTTTAGAATGCATGTTGTTTGAAGTTGAATTAATTATCAGAATAAAACTTTTTATGTGATCCAACAAATAAAGGGCTTTATGTTTTAGGATTGTAAATGTAATTCAAATTCGCATACAAATGTTTTATGCATTGTATTTCAGAGCAATTGAAAACTTTATTAAACTGCATGTTTATTTTTTAGTCTTTCACAGTTTTAAAATTCCCTAATATTTTACGTTTTTCAGATTAGGGGAAATAACTCTTAAAGATTTCAAAAAGATCCTTGATAAGAGTGTTGGGAACTATCGTTATTCATTCAAAGCTCTGGATCCGGAGTTCGGGACAGTAAAGGAGGAGGTGATGAATGACGATGACATCATTCCGGGATGGGAAGGCAAAATCGTGGCGTGGATCGAAGAAGATACGGGATAGCAGCGGAAAATACAGGGATCCTCGCCTGATAAGCTTGCCTGTTCCTTGTGATACCTCAATTCATTTTCCCTCCTAGTCGCCCTTCTTTGTTGACATTTTGAAATTTGTTACTTGTTTGTCGTTTTTGCCTTCGAGCAAAGAGTGCTCTTGAATCTGGATCGTTTGCTATGTAGTATTTGGCAGTCAGAGAGAGTAGTTCAGTTCCCGTTTGAGGCCAGTGCTTCCAAAAATAGGATTTTTGTCTCAGAAAAGATCTGAAGTTCATTTTTTGTTTTAATGTAGAATAAAACTAGATCTGATATCAAATAAAATCAGACAATGTTCCTTATTTATACTTTGACACATTATACATGTACAGATAGACGTTTGTAAAATACAGAACAACATTTTGTTTTATAAGGGCAGTGATATTTATTCTTTTTCCGGGTATTGGACATAGATATGTCTTGTTCTTGTGCAATAATTTTGGCATATAAATGTAAAGGCAGTACATAAATATATGTTGATATCTAATGATATCTACATTGTAACATTTTGAAGTGTTTATTAATATACATTGATTATATATAGTCATTTTGAAAGTTTGCAAGTTCTTGTCTCTGTATACTAACTTTCAGTTAACTTTTAATTAATAATTATTTATTCTCTTCTTTTAGCTCTCTTTTCTAGTAAAGATCTGTGATAAATCCTTGACGTACCTTTTTGTGCTCAATTTTTTTTACATGCTTGTATTTTTCATTCTGTTGTACTCAAATATTTGGTGTATAAAAAGTGAAGGGGTGGGGTGGGTTGGGGGTCATATGTGACTGTTCTGTATTAGAAAATTGAGAGTGTATTTAATACTGTTTATATATATAGTCAGGGCTTCATGCGAATAGTTTTAGATTTTATTAAAACAGGAGACCCATTCCTGTATGTTTGGTATAAATTAATAATTTGCTTAAGTTTCTGAATCTGTATGCAGCTCATTTGCTTTTCAAGGTTAAGTATTTTTTTTTTCTTAATACCAAAATACAATTTAAAAATATATAAGCAGTTACAGCATTTGGTATGTTTAGCTAAATTGCTCTTTTACATTATTTTCACAACTCTACTGAAATTTCCTTATTTTAGACTAGCTAGTATGCTGAAAAAATATGACTACATACTTGCTTCGAAGCATGAATTGACTCTAGTTGTCTTGATAAATGGATATCAGCTTTCAAATGCATCTTTCAAATTATTTTAAATAGATCTTATTTTGGAAATTGGAATAATGTATTTTTTCGTTTAACTTGTGTCATTGATTGTTTATTCTTTGTGTTTTCCAATCTAGTCCTTTTTTGGAAAGTTTTATTTTATTCTTCAGGGAAACAAACATTCCTTGCTAAAGATATTGTTCAGTATAACTAACATGGCATTCCTGTTCACAACAACTGGCATTCCTGTTAAAAAAAAAAACTTTTAGTTTTGATTTATGATTAATGATATTACAATGTAAAAGTAATATCAACTTGAACCAACTGGTAAATCACCTTTGTATATTCTGTCCATTTTTTCCACACACAAAAGATCAAACAGATTTGTTGATATTTGCTTATATTTGATATTCAGTTTTCTTTTCAATATTTTTGTTACACAGTGTAATCATTTGTCTCAAATCAGTGGAAGGTTTCCATTAGAAGTGTATAAAATGGTGATAAGTCCTCCAGGAGAGGAGAAACTTTTTATATATTTACACTTATTTTGTGTGTGTTGTATAGTAGTCCGCAGTATTATTGCCTCTACACAATTTTAAGCAGACGTCATTCCTTGATTATGATGTTTAAACTGCCTTACAATCCAAGATGTTTGAACATGTAGGAACATTTTTTTTTGTTTTCGCATTTGTGAATAAATGTTGAAAGATGGTTAAAGTATGTTGTTTATTCCTTGCATTCCTTATTGTTGTAATTATGAGGTGAGCTACAGGTTTTATAAATTTCAGTAGATCCCCTAGCCAGTAGGGCAAATGTCATTTTAACATGACAGTTTTATTCAACAGTATCGGTTATTTAAAGCTGAATATGATTCATAAAAGGTATGTGTCTGCCATACTGTAGATCACTATATTTTCGCGAGACTGTCTTTGACTCTTTAGAAGTGAGACAAAATTTTGACGAATTTTGGCAATTGCTCTATATAATCTTTAGGGATAATAATAAACGCGAGAAAGATAATTTAGCGAGTACATGTTCTCGCGTAATTCCGCGAAAATAAAGTTCTCGCGAATAAAAAGTGAATTACAGTATTTGATTGGACTCTCCCTATACATCTGAGAACCCTTTATAAAGCAGCTGACTTAGTCTCTGTTCATTGTAATCAGTGGACACTGGTGTAGGTATGCCACACAGAACTCTGTAGCAACAGAAAATGACTTTATACTTATAATGCATGAAAGTAAGGTATCAAAAACTTGCGATAGTTGCAAAGCTCAGTGCAGTAAACAAACACGAATACACATAACTTCAATAAAATGTATTTATAAAAGGTGATGCAAGATAACCAGCGCGAACACAGGTGGCTATTCCACACTGACACCTGTGGCAATAAAGCAGTCAGGTGTAACTTGGAATATTTTTTGGATGAATAGTCTTAAATTATATGTGACTGTAATTTTTATGTAAATGTGATACACAGATGGTGTTTGCTGTTAACCAGCTGCACAGTGGAGTGTGTCATGGCTTGACACAAGGTTTTTTGGACAAGTTCATGGTCACTGCCGGCAGGGGAATTCACATTCCTCTACTGTCTTTCTACTATTGAAATATTGCAAGTTGATATCCCTTACAGGATTGTTTATAACCTTAAAATGTTGCATGACCTTGACTCAAGATCGCTATGCCCTGTCCGGAGCTCTGAGGGAAGACTATTCGTTGCAGTGCAACGAACTCATCTCTAAATTAGAAGTTGTACTTAAATTCTCTATGATAACTACAATAAAACGAAATTGTTTTACAGGGAACATGCCACTCTGATTAAAACCAGCTCCCTCATTGGCGTCGAAAACAAATTGCAAGTGGGGTGGGGGTGGTTAATTGAAAGAGAAAAAATTCAAACTTGAAAAAATTGACAAGCAATAAAAACAAAAGGCCCAGGGGCCACATCGCTCATCTGCTAGGAAAAAGCACAAATCAGATCAGAATAAATATTTTTTAAATATATTCTAATGTAAAACTTGGATCCATATGTGGCCCCACCCTACCTCTGGGGGTTATGATTTGAACAAACTAAAATCTACATTACCTGAGGATGCTTCCACATAAATATCACTAAGCATGGCTTTGCAGTACTTAAAGAAGATTTTAAGATTTCCCTACATACCGGTATTCCTATGTAAAACTTTGACCGGCCATTGTGGCCCCACCCTACCCCCAGGGGTCATGATTTGAACATATTTGAATCTATACTACCTGAGGATGATTCAACATGAATTTCATCTTTCCTGCCTCAATGGTTCTTGAGAACAAGGTTTTTAAAGATTTTTCCTATATATTCCTATGTAAAACTTTGATCAGCCATTGTGGCCCATCCTACCCCCAGGGGTCATGATTTGAGCAAATTTTAATCTACACTACCAGAGGATGATTCCACATGAGTTTCATATTTCCTGGCCCAGATGTTATTGAGAAGATTTCTTTAAAATGCCATTAATTTTTCACAAATTCATAATTATTTCCCCTTGGAAGAGGGCGTGGCCCTTCATTTGAACAAGCTTGAATCCCCTTCACCTAAGAATACTTTTTGGCAAGTTTGGTTGAAATTAACCCAGTGGTTCTTGAGAGGAAGATGAAATTGTAAAAAGTTTACAACGACGACAGACAAATTTTGATCAGAAAAGCTCACTTGAGCCTTTGGCTCGGGTGAGCTAAACAGGAGGAAAAACATAAATAAAACTTCTTTCAGTACCAATTTTTTCCCCCAAAACCCTACTACTTACCCATTTTTGACTACACTGCAACTTTTGCGTGTAGCTGTCTCCGAAAAAAATATACTGACAGACCGGAGAGCTGCAGTGCCACTCATTGAAATAACTATATTTATTGTGCACCAAAACGTGCGCTGTTTCTCAATTTATTTCTCTGTGGTTTTCAGACTCTCAAAATATTACTAACCGTGTGTTCCTAACATATTCTATCACTGTTTCCACTACAAAATATTCCTTATAATTGTTGTTAATAGTCCTCCTGGCCCTAAAATTAAGATGATAGAAAATTTTGCCCATTTATAATTATATTATCGTTTTTGTATGCAAGATGATTTGGTGTAAAGCGCTTTGTTCAGATGTCAACTACGAGAGTACTTGATAAGAAGCAATTGAGGTAAGAATTAGGAAGAATTATCCAGAACCAAGCGCAATTTTTTGTGCGCAATAAATATACAGTTTTATTTTTCAATGGGTAGCACTGTAGCTCCGGTCTGTTAAAATATATATTTTCGGAGATCTACAGTTCTGCGGCTACCTGTGCGTGTTGAAAGGGGGGGGGGGTTAAACCTACGTCCCATTATTCAATGTCTTCATTATGTCTATCTTTGCAAAAATGTGGCTAGCCCCCCCCCCCCCCTTCCCCGGTTCTGACACCTATGCCCCTTCTCCTTTCACTACTTAGGTGAGATTTTGACTGATGAGTGAAAGGAGAAGTGGGGTTGGTCGACCTTGAAACTAAAACAAACTTTTAAAAGTTAATAACGCATTTTTCACCGAAATAAAAGTAAAATGGAAAAGAGTAGCCGCAATAAGACACGGAAAGCGCTTATATTAAATATAATGGGTACTATTTGGGGAAGCGGGTAAACGAGGTATATATTTACATTGAGATATGTACTAGTTTTGCATATCTTCGAGGGTCAAAATTGAGTGTGATGGGCAATGAAATACATGTGTAGCGTTCAACAGCATGTTTAGTGGTTGGTATTACTTTCCCAACATTAATAGCTCAGTGTTATAAAAATAACTAATTACGTTACGTATCTATTAAAAATTGCACCTAATTGCTCATATAAAATATTTTTTTTTAAACACATAGCTGATTCCATTCTCTTGCATTTCATGTTTTCCAATTATCAGTCAGCATTGCTTCACTCGAAATTCCTCGGATGGCTCGTACCTCGCAAATAACCTCAAGGTTTGAATGGAGCGCATTCGGCGATTGGAGCGTGGTGGAGTCGGCAATCGATTGGCATTGCTTAGACGTCATAATGAAATACGTCACAATCACGGTGACGTCTTTGTATTGTGATATTACAATAAGTTGTACCCTTCACAACGGAGGCAAAACATTGAAGTCGTGAGCAGTGAAACCATAATGGTAATCAAGAAATTTGATTATTTCATTTGCACTCGATTTAAATTATTCTTACAATTAGCATGTTAATTATTTGATTGCTAATTTTTTCATGATTCACAGGAACATAAGTACAAGAAGAGTAAGGAATATTTTGGAAGTTTGGGAGATTTAGAAAGTGATTGGGTAGAAAATACTAAGTCAGAATTCAAAGACGGTACAGCATATCTAGAATGGTTAGAGCGACAACTTCCATATCTAGAGGTATAGGAAAATGCATATTTCATTGTGCCTATAAAAAGCGAACCTTAAATGTTACATTAAACAAGAGGCCCAGGGGCCATAGCGCTCACCTGAGCACATCAGGCTTGAATTTACTCCACCACCCCCCTCCAGGCATTCATCATTTGAACAAACTAGAATCTACACTACCTGAGGATGATTCCATATAAATATCACAAATCATAGCTTTGAAGTACTTGAAAAGATTTTGAAAGGTTTCCCTATATATCCCTATGTAAAACTTGGGTCGGCCATTTTGGCCCCACCCTAGCCCCGGGGGTCATGATTTGAACAAACTTGAATCTACACTACCTGAGTATGATTCCACATGAGTTTCATCTCTCCTGGCCCAGTGGTTCTTGAGAAGAAGATTTTAAAAGATTTTTCCTACATATTCCTATGTAAAACTTGGGTCGGCCATTTTGGCCCCACCCTTGCCCCAGGGGTCATGATTTGAACAAACTTGAACCTACACTACCTGAGGATGATTCCACATGAGTTTCATCTCTCCTGGCCCAGTGGTTCTTGAGAAGAAGATTTTTAAAGATTTTTCTTATATATTCCTATGTAAGACTTGGGTCGGCCATTTTGGCCCCACCCTAGCCCCGGGGGTCATGATTTGAACAAACTTGAATCCACACTACCTGAGGATGCTTCCACATGAGTTTCATCTTTCCTGGCCCAGTGGTACTGGAGAAGAAGATTTTTAAAGATTTTTCCTATATATTCCTATGTAAAACTTGGGTCGGCCATTTTGGCCCCACCCTAGCCCCGGGGGTCATGATTTGAACAAACTTAAATCTACACTACCTGAGGATGCTTCCACATGAGTTTCATCTTTCCTGGCCCAGCGGTTCTGGAGAAGAAGATTTTTAGCTCACCTGAGCCGAAGGCTCAAGTGAGCTTTTCTGATCACATTTTGTCCGGCGTCCGTCTGTCCGTCTGTCTGTCCGTAAACTTTTCACATTTTCGACTTCTTCTCAAGAACCGCTGGGCCAATTTCGACCAAACTTGCCACAAAGCATCCTTGGGTGAAGGGGATTCAAGTTTGTTCAAATAAAGGGCCATGCCCTTTTTCAAGGGGAGATAATTGAGAATTAGTGAAAATTTGGTGGTATGTTTTAAAAATCTTCTTCTTAAGAACCACTGTGCCAGGAAAGTTGAAACTTATGGGGAAACATCCTCAGGTAGTGTAGATTCAAATTTGTTAAAATCATGTCCCCCGGGGGTAGGGCGGGGCCACAAAGGCCGACCAAAGTTTTATATAGAAATATACAGGAAAATTCTTTAAAAATCTTCTTCTCAAGAACAGCAGAGCCATAATTGCTCATATTTATATGGAAGCATCCCCAGGTAGTGTAGATTCAAGTTTGTTCAAATCATGACCCCCGGGTGTAGGGCGGGGCCACAATGGCCGACCAAAGTTTTATATAGAAATATATAGGAAAATTCTTTAAAAATCTTCTTCTCAAGAACAGCAAAGCCAGAATTGCTCATATTTATATGGAAGCATCCCCAGGTAGTGTAGATTCAAGTTTGTTCAAATCATGACCCCCGGGGGTAGGGCGGGGCCACAATGGCCGACCAAAGTTTTATATAGAAATATATAGGAAAATTCTTTAAAAATCTTCTTCTCAAGAACAGCAAAGCCAGAATTGCTCATATTTATATGGAAGCATCCCCAGGTAGTGTAGATTCAAATTTGTTCAAATCATGACCCCCGGGGGTAGGGCGGGGCCACAATGGCCGACCAAAGTTTTATATAGAAATATATAGGAAAATTCTTTAAAAATCTTCTTCTCAAGAACAGCAAAGCCATAATTGCTCATATTAATATGGAAGCATCCCCAGGTAGTGTAGATTCAAGTTTGTTCAAATCATGACCCCCGGGGGTAGGGCGGGGCCACAATGGCCGACCAAAGTTTTATATAGAAATATATAGGAAAATTCTTTAAAAATTTTCATTTCAAGAATAGCAAAGCCATAATTGCTCATATTTATATGGAAGCAACCTCGGGTAGTGTAGATTCAAGTTTGTTCAAATCATGACCCACCGGGGCTAGGGCGGGGCCAAACTTTTGGATTCAAACTTTTCAATAGTAAACCAATTACTACTTTTCCTAGCCACAATGCTCGGGTGAGCGATGTGGCCCATGGGCCTCTTGTTTAAAAATGTCATAAATTTTTCACAAATTCATAATTATCTCCCCTTGGAAGGGGGCGTGGCCCTTCATTTGAACAAACTTGATTCCCCTTCACCCAAGGATACTTTGTGCCAAGTTTGGTTGAAATTGGCCCAGTGGTTCTTGAGAAGAAGATGAAAATGTGAAAAGTTTACGCCGACGCCGACGACGCCGACAACGACGACGACGACGACGACAGACAACGGACAAATTTTGATCAGAAAAGCTCACTTGAGCCTTCGGCTCAGGTGAGCTAAAAATGACTAAATGATTTTGATGTGTTTACTGATTACTAGTATATATGAAATATCATTTTTAAAGGAATTTGAATCCAGTGACGCGGTTCATTACTACTTTTTCCGGAGCTGGAGCAAACAGGGATCATACTTTCCCGAGATGGAACCTTTAATTGTAAGCTATTTTCTTTCATTTCTATCTTTAGTAAAAACCAGAGCCCCAGTGAATAAATATTAAATCTACAATAACACTATACATTAATATACTAATATATTAATAATATAATATAATTTATGCATAAAAAGGGTTGTGAAAACAAAACTGTCGTTTGTTTTAAAGGAAAAGGAAACTGAAGAGGGAGATAGTGTAAGTTTGACAGATGACGATGCTGATGGAGCAGTGAAGGAAACGAAAGAGGTGTGGGAAAATGGAACCAAGCCGGAATTCAGAGACGGGAAACAACTCGTGGAGTGGCTTGAAAGAAAATTGCCGTATCTGGAGGTACTAAAATTAATAAAACACATCTACTAAAACAAAGTTAAATGTTTCTATTTATCATGGCTACATTTTAACTGTTTTTGAGCCATTTGCTCCCGATGACGCTGTACATTACTATTTCAACAGACAGTGGAGTCGGCAGAAATCTGAACTTAAACTCGAGATTTTAGTTGTAAGTATATATACACATATGTTTTTAAATTTGAAGATTTACTTCAAGACGTTTAATGTTCATGCATTTGTCATTTTATTTCAAGGAGGTAGACGATGAAGACGAGATTGAAGCAGGCAATCATAGAGATGACAATAGCTTAGAGGTGAGTCCGCATATTAATTTACATTTTATTTCATTAATAAATGAATTTACAACGTAGGCCTATAAAATCAGTTTTAGTGGCGTTTAGCATTTCTTATGTTCTGTTTTGTTTTTAATTCTTCGATCTCTATAACATTTCTAGGACAAAGATGACAGAAATCCTTACATCAAAATGATGGCAAGCCCTTTGGTTCTGGAAGGATTTAATCTTAAGGTAAAAACTGAACTGATTGTCTTAAACTTCAAAGTGCATCTACCAGAATTTAAAGGGCATTGTCAAAAATTGTTTTCTTTCCCCCCAGAAATCTGAGTCTCATGGAGATGACACCCAAAGAAATGCTACTAAGAAGGACACGCTTATGCTGCAGTTTACAAATGGTGGCGATTCTCCGTTTGGTGATAAAATGGTAATATAGATGTAATATTACAGCATTTTGTTCAGGTTGAATATAGATTTTTCGCGGGTAATCTATTCAAGTTGTCTAGTGAAGGATATCCTCTCCTCAACCAGAAATGGATATCTCTTTAAATATTTCACTAATTTTCATTTCATTTCAATGTTTAATCAGTAAATCCTTGTCAAAATTATGGCGTAACAAGAGTTTTTGTGATATTTTTTTTGTGTTAATAATTTTTTTTGTTTTATTTTCAGTTAAGCAGTGTCAAGATAGCAAAAATCCAATCTAAGCTCCACCCATTTCTACAGAAGAAAGTGAGTTTCATATTCAATATCAAATTTGACTTGTAGAAAAAAGCTATGTCGTTACAGAAAGAAACAGTCTTGTTGTTAAGATTGAAATATTTGTTGTTACCCTAATGTTGAAATTATAACAGCGCGCTAATTTTGTTATTTCAGAGTAAGGAGAAGAGATATCATTTCACAAATGAGAAGAAAGGAAAGAAAATAAAGACCAAGAAGAAAATGTTTTCATGTTTTCGTCGTGTGTTTGGCTGAAGTCAGAGACATCTGTAAAACAAACTATAGACCGAGAGAATTGTTAAATTATTTATAACTTTTTTGAATTTTTGTAATACGTAATATCACATGGACCTGATTGAACAAAAAAATGTATTTCTGTATTGCATTTGTCTTATAATTTTACATATAGAACAGTATTCAGCAAATATCCATTACATATACCATTTACGGCAAGATGCACCCTTCAGACAGAAGTCATGATCTTCAACAATACACGCATGGTTGTAAGGAATGTTGATGTTAGCGATACATTGTGAACAGATTTTACATTTTTTAACCATGAAAGGTAATCAATTAAAACAAATGCAATGTGTCGCCTGTAATACAAAACTCAGGTCTTTTTCTCACTTGGAGGGGGTCGCTCATAAACAGCTAGGTTTTATTCCTGATATTGTGAGTCTATTATGCATGTATAACCTTTGCGAATATGTGAGAGTGTGGCTTTAAGTTGGTTTATTTCCATCAAAGTCAGTCTGGAAACAAATTGTGAGATCTTCGACTTTTCGATACAATAAACTCCGGAGAGACACACGCGTTTCAGGTGATCCAAGTTTCGTCCGTTTCCGGAAAATATTTCAGGATGGAAATCTCGCTTTATTCTGGTGTATACCCAAATATTGTTATGAAATTTGTTGTGCAAATTCATTTGCAAATTGCCTCCGAATCCCCGAGAACTACAGAAAGAGCTAGGTTCACTTTATGCATAAAATGACCTTAGATCAATTAATCAAGTGTCACCCCCATTCTCATTTCATATATCAAACTAAAGTAAAGACTTAGTACTTCCATTCCCTATAATAAATTTTGTTTTTGAGAATCTAAATATTGGAAATCAGGCTTTGATAAAATGCAATGTTCTTTCAAGAATTTTGCAGAAAACAGGCGTATTTGACTGTCTTCAGCAAAGAATTAAAATATGAGCACAGCCCACGATTCAAAAATTAAAACATGTTTTATAATCTTCAGAAACAGATCTTTCATTTTGTGATTGCAATATATATTGCGGTTAAAGACATAGAATATTTAATTGTTTTTGAAAGGACATATCAAGCATGCAATTAACGTTGAATTTTTTAAAGGATGTCAACTTCTCATATTTAAAATAGCCATTGACCTTTGACAAATATTTTATATATTTAAAACTTTACAATTGCATTTCACGAAAAAAGAAATCAGAAATGGCTTGATAGACGGAAAAGATAAAAATTTTTAAAAAATTGAAATAATCTTGACCTTGAATAAATTTCTAAGGTCAAGGGTCACATTGCAATTAACCCCATGCCTCTATGACTTATAGTTTTGAGGTTTAATATTATGCGAAGAAAAGTAACTGTAATTCAAAACTCTGACCAGATTGTTTTCTTACCTCAGGTGCATCAAATGATACAACAAGATTTGCTGACAAACTCGTTGTCATCAATTTGCACGTGTTTTGGGCTTTTTAGCGTTTTCAATACGTGAAGTCATACATTTTACGGTTGAGTAATTCTGAACACTGATTTTGGTGCATAGTAAGTAACATTAATTTTCCATCTAACCAATTTTCGTAATTTTCGGACATGCGGTCAAAAAAATTTCGGATATTATGCTACCCTGCGTTTCTTTTCCTTTTAGTATAAGTACGAAATACTGAAATGTGACTTTGAAGAATTTCTTCCTTGGAAAGTGGATTGTGATCTTAAGTTGTCATTTTTTATTTAAGATTCTAGTTAACAACAATTTTCTCATAAAGTAAAACAAATGAGTATATTAATACTGAATCAACAAAGATGACCATAAAATGGTCCATTTAACCCTCTCTCAACACTCTCACTCCCTCTCCACCTCCCCCTCTTTCTCCCCGCTCTCACACTCCCTCTCTCTCCCCACTCTCACTCCCCACTCTCACACTCCTCTCTCTCTCCACTCTCACACTCCCTCTCTCACCCCACTCTCACTCCCCCTCTCACCCCACTCTCTCTCCCCACTCTCACTCCCCCTCTCTCTCCCCACTCTCACACTCCTCTCTCTCCCCACTCTCACACTCCCTCTCTCTCCCCACTCTCACACTCCCTCTCTCTCCACTCTCACACTCCTCTCTCTCCCCACTCTCACACTCCTCTCTCTCCCCACTCCTCTCCCCACTCCTCTCTCACACTCCTCTCTCTCCCCACTCCCCCTCTTTCCCCCCTCTCTCTCTCTCCACTCTCACTCCTCTCCATTCCCAATCCTCTCCTCTCTTCAAGACAGTGGGAGAGATATTAGGAGGCTAATTGCGAGTAGGAGAGCGCGAGGAGAAGAGGCAGAAGGTGATTAGATAGAATGGGAGATAGTAATCCGCCATTCACACCCTCTTTTCTCTCCCTCACTATATCTCTCCCTTTCACTCCTCCTCCCTCCAATTCTGTCTCTCTTTCTCTCAGTCTCTCTCCCCACAATTTTACTCTCTCTTTCTTTTTTTTTTGGTTTTGTATGTTTGAATCTCTCATTACTGACTCACTCATGTGAAATAAACGATTTATATGCATTATACTTCGATTTTTCATAACTGTTTACAATTAAAAATAATGGAAGCAATTCTTTTTCCATAGTACATAGAACATTCTTTCGTTATTGTAAAATAAATTATAAAATGTCTATTCTTGATCTTTTTATTTTAAGTAAATTTATCAAAATTGACCATTTAAGCAAAATGATTTATGTCATTTAAGTTTACAGGGCGATAACTTCAGATAAAAATACATAGAGGCAGTCTACCAAAATCTTCTTCATTTGACTAAATATATAATTCGGGATTGACATTCATTATCTTTATCCCTTGTTTGCAATCAGTTTATTTGAATTCTATATTTTAAATATTTTTTTTTTTGCACAGACATTGTAAGGTTGCGTTGACAAAAGCCAAAATGCACTTGCATCTTGACTCCCTCGTTGTTCTAAGTTGAAACCGGTATTTTATATTTTGAATATTAATGTTCATTTGGTGTTTTATTCAAATATGTACTGTTTGTAAAATTACAAATAATCTTCATTTGTTACATGGTTCTACTCTTCTAACCATAGGTTTTAACTTTACAGTTTTTGAAAGGTTAACCGTTAAGCCATCGGCGTATGAGTAAATTCTCACTTATGATTACGGGTCCTGACCATGCATGCCTCTGGGGAAATACAAATCATTCAGTATACATACATTGTGTTACTAGTATTACATTATGACAATGTAACAATGACAATGTTTTTAGTAAGATCAGAAGTTTATCAAAAAACAATTCAAAATAAAAAGAAAAAAAATTGCTGCACGACTCATAACTTTTGATTTATTTAATTACCAGATTAAAGTACCGGTAAACGCCATTGAATTTCGACGTTTCAAGATTGTCAATCATGTAATAAAAGGTTGACACGATTCAATATTGTTATACCTTTAAAAATTTGTTCCTATATAAATCGATACGCAAAAAAGTCAAACATTTCTAATGTTTTGCTGAGCGGGCATAAAAAAATCGATGTTGGACCGCTGAGTGAGATGTTGGACCGATCGATTAGATGTTGGACCGCTTACGTCACAGAATGGGCGGAGCTTAATCTAATTTTCATTCTTTGGTATTCAAAAGTGACGGCCCTGATGTTACATCACGAAAGACAGTACAAAATACATGTATGTAAAAAAAAATTAAAATGAAAGGTATAACAAACCATTTATTGACTGTGTTCTCGGACAAAATGCGTTTTGTCGTCCCTCGAACCAAACTGTTTGCCTTCGGCCTAACGGCCTCAGGCAGACAGTTTGGTTCTTGGGTCTGACAAAACGAATGCTGCCCTCGAACTCAGTCAATAAATGTATAGTAGTGTGAGTTAATGCCATAAAGAATTGACATAATGTAATGTACGGTTGACACAATATTTATGTAATTGTTGTGTAATTAAATGTCATGAAAAGTAAACATAACGAAATGCAAGTTGACGAAATATAATTGTAGCATGTGTAAATGTCATAAAGAGTTGACATATTGTAAAGGAAAGTTGACACGATGCAATAGAAGTGTGGGAAAATGTTAGCTGCAGATCTGTAGCTCTCCGAAAAAATATATGTTGATAGACCGGTCTATCAATAATTTTTTTTTCGGAGAGCTCTCAGCTAGAGTTGACAAAATATATGTTGATAGACCGGTCTATCAATAGTAGTGTTTTTTCATTTGACATAATGAGAGACACAATGCAATAGTGCAGTGTGTGTAGTTGACATAGAGCTTATAATGTAATGGAAGGTTAACAAAATGCAATAGTAGTGCGGTTTAATGTCATAAAGAGTTGACATAATGTAATGGAGGGTTGACACAATGCAATAGTAGTGTGAGTAAATGTCATAAAGAGTTGACATAATGTAATGGAAGGTTGAATTGAATGGAATATAATACTGTGTCTACATCATAACGAAATGCAAAATATACCGCACGGAATGCTAACTGGACCGGACATAATATTTAACGATCAGCATCATCATAATAACAAATTCTACACATAAAAATGAATATACAGTATATAATGTGAGAGGTACATGATATATTGTTGTGTTTACTGCATATAATGTTAGAACTACCGCACATAATGTTAGAACTACCGAATATAATGTTAAAAGCACTTCATATAATGATAGATGTAAATATTATGACATATCTACATCATATAATGAGAGAAGTACTGCATATAATGGAAGTTGTACATGATGTAATGTAAAAACTACTTCATATAGTACCGCATATAATGAAGGAAACACTGCATATAATGTTTAATCCACATATAAGACAGTCACGGCGTTCCATAGATATTCTTTTGTGTATTTTGTATAGTATTCGTTAATCACTTCATTGTGACTGATTTTTTTTTCATGGCGCAGATTTACAACATACACATCAAATACATGAAATTATACATAAAAAAAAAGTATTTTTTGAGAGCGTAAAAAAAATGAACAAAGGGCCCTAAAAATGGGGCCGTTATACCGCCATGATTTCTAAATTACCCTAACTGTACATGATGTAAGTAACTTCGGCATATAATCATGGCCTTTTTACCAGATTCCCCCGGTGTAATATCTAATGTGGCCCCGGCCCCCCCTACGCCCCCGGGATGTCATGATTTTTATACTGCCCCAAATGATTCTACATAAGTTTCAGCTTTTCTGGCTGGTGGCTCTTGAGAAGAATATTTTTAAAGGGTTTTCCTAAATATTTCAATGTAAAACTTGGATTCCCTATTGTGACCCAACCCTACCCTGGGGGTCATGATTTCAACAATTTAGAATCTACACATAAGTTTCTGCTTTAATGGTTCCGTTTTTTCAGAAGATTTTTAAAGATTTTTCCTATAATATATATTTCAATTCCAATATATTCCTATGTAAAACTTGGATTCCCTATTGTGGCCCATCTTCGCAAGGGTTTGTGGGGAGTGAAGCGGACCGAAAACCCTTGGCTTGCGAATATGATTGTGGCCCCGTCCTTCCCAGAGGGGTCATAATTTTAACAATTTAGAATATACACTATCTCAAAATGCTTCCATGTAAGTTTCAGTTCTTCAGGCCCAGTGGTTCTTGAGAAGAAGATTTTTAATGACCACATCATATTTTTGTCTTTGATTATCCCCCCTCTACTTGTAAGGAGACTTGGCCCTTCATTTTAACAATTTAAACTCTCCTTCACCCAAGGATGTTTTTTGTCAAGTTCGGTTAAAGTTGAGAAGAACATGAAGAAGTGGAAAAAATGAAAAATCTCTATGATCTATAGTAAAACATGAAAATGTTTTATAGTGAACATGCCAGTCAGGTGACTGACATATGAGAGAGGAGAAAGGGGCTGGTTTTAATCAGATTGTATATTAACATTACACCTATTACATATTACAATTATGGACTCTTTTTGGTGTTGAATATGGTTTGTTTTTCACCAGAAAAATATCAATATTGACCGAGGCGAATCCGGTGAATATCTACTGGTATGAACTGTTTGCGCTTGTATAGATTATATAGGGACTACAAATAGACTATATAATAATTTTGATTAAATTCACAGACCTGAAATACGTTAATAAATATAAAATTAATCTATTATGAATCGACCCTCGAAACTAAAATGAACTTTCAAAAGTAAAATGGAAAAGAGTAGTCGCAATAAGACACGGAAAACGCTTATACTTAAACTACTGGGGCAAGTTAGTTAAAAGATTTCTTGGGGGGCCGGGGGGGGGGGGATAGGGTAAACGAAATATATACTTACTTTGAAATATATACAAAGTTAGCATAAATTAATTTAAGCTTATTTTCGTAGCCAAAATTGAATAACATCACTGATAGGACGGGAGGGGGGGGGGGTTAATTGGCATGTTCAGAGCTTGAGGGTATTACTACCCAAAATATCTCAGTTTTATAAGCATAACTAATTACGTTAAGTATCTAGAAAAAATTGCATGTAATTCCTCATATGAAATAATATTAATTTGTTTTTAAAAGTTAAACACATAGCTGGTTCCATTCTCAAGTGCATTTCATGTTTTCCGATCATCAGTAAGCATAGCTTCCCTTGGATAGTTCCTCGGATGGCTCGCACATAACTTCGAGGTTTGAATGGAGCGCATTTGGCGAATGGAGCGTAGCGGAGTCAGCCGAGGATTGCCGATTGGCATTGCTTAGACGTCATAATGAAATACTTCACAATCACAGTGACGTCTTTGTATTATGACGTCACAATAACCTAGACCTTCACAACGGTGGCAAAACATTGAAGTCGTGAGAAGTGAAACCATAATGGTAATCTAGAAATTTGGTTATTTCATTTGCACTCGATTTAAATTATTTCTACAATTAGCATGTTTATTATTGGATTGCTAATTTTTCATGATTCACAGGAACCTAAGTACAAGAAGAGTAAGGAATATTTTGGAAGTTTGGGAGATTTAGAAAGTGATTGGGTAGACAATACTAGGTCAGAATTTAAAGACGATACAGCATACCTAGAATGGTTGGAACGACAACTTCCATATCTAGAGGTATAGGAAAATGCATATTTCAATGTGCCTATATAAAACGAACCTTAAATATTTAAAATGAATGAGTGTTTTTGATGCGTTTATTTTTTTTTAAATGATGATTTTATATAAAATATCATTTTTAAAGGAATTTGAATCCAGTGATGCGGTTCATTACTACTTTTTCCGGAGCTGGAGCAAACAGGGATCATACTTTCCCGAGATGGAACCTTTAATTGTAAGTTATTTTCTTTTCATTTTAAAATTTATTCGATGTCTAATTTTTTTTAATACAAGTTTAATACAAGTCATATATTCAGTGAATAAATCTTCACTAACACCATAGAGAAATATATCAGAATTTTATGCATAAATGTGGGAAAAAGAAATATCTCGTTTATTTTAAAGGAAAAAGAAATTGAAGAGGAAGATGTAAGTTTGACAGACGACTATGCTGATAGAGCAATGGAGGAAACTGAAAGGGTGTGGGCAAATGGAACAAAGCCAGAATTCAAAGACGGGAGACAACTCGTGGAATGGCTGGAAAGAAAATTATCATATTTTGAGGTACTGAAAATTACAAAAACACAACTATGAATTGACATGTCTATACATGTGTTTAATCATGGCCATATTTTAATTCAATTTTTTTTTTTTTTGTATTTTCAGCCATTTGCTCCCGAGGACGCTGTGCATTACTATTTCAACAGACAGTGTAGTCGGCAGAAATCTGAACGTAAACTCGAGAATTTAGTTGTAAGTTTATTCATATACATACCGGTATGATATCGGTGCTTGAATATTGCAAATAAGTGAAGGTTTGCATTGAAAAGTTTAATGTTTATGTTTACATTTTTGTCGTTTTTATTCAAGGAGGAAGACGATGAAGACGAGAATGAAACTGTTGACCAGTGCAAGAATAGTGATGACAAAAACTTAGAGGTGAGTCAATTTACATTTAATTCAGATTACTTTATGACTTTACAGTGTAGGCCTTTGTAATATCAATTTTACCGATGTTTAACATTCCTGTTGTGTGTGTGTGGAAAGGGGGGGGGGGTGTTTTGCATTTTGTTTTGTTTTTCATTTCTTTTCTGTATCACTTGTAGAACAAAGATGACAGAAATGCTTACATCAAAATGATGGCGAGCCCGTTGGTTCTGGATGGATTTAATTTTAAGGTAATGAATCAACTGATTGTCTGAAACTTCAGTGTGTCTTACCAGAAACTTGAAAAGGTAAAAAGGTCATTGTTAAAAAAAATATTTTCTTTCCCCCCAGAAATCTGAGTCACATGGAGATGACACCCAAAGGAATGCTAACAAGGAGAACGACACGCTTATGATGCAGTTAACCAATGGAGACGATTCTGTAATTGGTGATGAAATGGTAATATATTACATTTATATTCAGGCTGGATAGATATTTCAACGGTCACCCATTTAAGATTCCCGGTAAAAGATATCGGTTTCTCAGCCAGAAAGGATAACTTTTTAATTATTTAAATTTTAAAAAGTCCCAAAAAATATTTTTGTGCAACATTTTTTATTTCAATGTTTACTGAAGTTAAATTAAAGATTTTTTAAATAAGTTACTCCTTTTCAAAATTATGGCGTTACAATAGTTTTTTTTATAATCATTTTTTGGGTGTTGATGAAAGTTTTCGTTTGATTTACAGTTGAGCAGTGTCAGAATAGCAAAGATGCAATCTAAGCTCCATCCATTTCTTCAGAAAATTGTAAGTTTCAGCCCGTGTCCATCTTCTATATCATTTTGACATGTTTAAATTAACACTATGTCTTTACAAAAAGAAACAGTCAATTTTCTAAAGACTTAAATATTTGTTGCAACTTAATGTTAAAATTATAAAAACTTGTTTTTATTATTTCAGAATATGGGAAAGAGAGATCATTTCTCAAATGAGAAGAAAGGAAAGAAAATGAAGACCAGGAAGACGCTGTCTTCATTTTTTCGTCGTGTGTTTGGCTGAAGTCTGAGACATCTGTAAAAGAAACTATATAGACAGAGAATTATTGAATTATTATTTATAAGTTTTTGAATTGTTGTAATACATAATACCACCTGATTGAACATAAAGATATATTTCTGTATTGCATTTGTTATGATTAATTACTTTTCATTTAAAAAAAAAATATAGACATTTTCGATGCATTTTTAAGATAGAGACAACTTTTTATTTGGTGTCATTCGGAGAATTTCACCAAGGGCAGTGACAATTTTTGCAAGACTGAAAATAACTATTGATGTTTATTAAGTTAAGAATTTTAAAAATTAGTACTTAATGCAACGAACTGCCGATTTACAATAAACAATGATGTTGCAGTTTTGAAAGGGTTGGAATTAAATAGTGCATTCTAGATACACTCTAATAAAGTCTTGGTTCTGTAATGCCTGAATCAAAATGGATTTGTCACATTAATGAATATATTGCTCATATAAAAATCTTTGAAGCATTTACCATGAAAATTCAGTGATTTGTTTTCTTAAAAAATCTACTACTAAATCTACTGATCAGTTTTTTTTTTCTCTGAACTTTACAGTATTAATGTGGATCATGCTCTCTGCATAAGTTCAATCCATTTTTGAATTTTATGACTTTAAAAACAAAACCACAGTTACTATAAATAGAACGTAAGATTAGCCACAGTTACAATAAATAGAACGTAGGGCGTTATGCAATATTTGCTAATCGGAAATGATAAAATTAAATGGACAGATTGGCAAAGATGAAAATAATTCATGTGATATGATTTATAGTTACTTATTAAACTTCGTAACCAATTGTGGGAGATATGGCGTCTGAAACGTCAAATTCTAAGAATCCCTACAGTTTTTGACTTCCTAAAAAAGTTGTATAACTGTTATGACAAAATCACATGGTATAATAAGGTATATATACCGGTACTTGTCTGTCAATTGTCATTTTGTTTGATCCTAAATATTGAAGTCGTAGCTCTGAAATGTAAAATATTTTTCGCGAGTTTTGGCTATATTATTTACCTGGTATTTGAAAACTATATGATAGGAATTGCACACTATTTACATGTAATAGTACAGCATATATATAAAAACAAATTCAATGCGCATGCTGTATTAAGAAAATTCTTATCATACATTTTTGGAATTAATAATCCTTGAACTGTCAAAAGTTTGCTATTTATTCAAGTATTGCCTTTTAAAAAATAAATGGTTACAGCTAGATGAGCGATTTTGGCCGTGGGGAGGAGGTGGAGGAGGGTTTTTTTTTTTCTCTGCAACTGTCCATAATATATAATAATAAATTTTGAAAGAGCTGCTTACTAGTTTTTTGACATTTTTGTATACCGTTTTTCTCTCATAAAATTTTATTTTGTTGATTATTTTTCCTTTTACTGGTAATTATTTGTTATAATTTCAAATTATTTATTAATATGCATTTATTTACGTATTCATCTTTTGCTTTTTCAAAATAAAAACATTGTTTATTAAATTTCTTGGAACTAATTGACATAAAGGAGTGAGGGTACAATCAACATTTTACTGTATTTTTATAATACGTCTTCTATACGTAAACAAAAAAAGAAGAAATACATGTTATTAGCATTTTAAAAAATCTACAATGATTATTTTCTATCGTTGAACTCTTGATTAACTATGAAATTATAAAATATATCATAAAATGTTTTATATTGTTGAACTCTGGATTAATTTATTATGAAATTATATAAAATGACATAAAATTTTCTACAACTCTCTTATATCGTTGAACTCTTGATTAAGCATGACATTATAAAATAAATCTCAGGCAATCAAAACGCCTAATAATGCTGATCAATATATTCTTTTAGATTTTATTATGAAGCACCTGTCAACCATCTGGTCAAATAAGAAACTTGTGGCTACCTTATTGACGTTTCTGATGTTTTTAAGGCCTTGTTGACTCTTGTCAGATTATATCAATGATATATCCATTGTATCTAAAAGGAGAGATTAAACTATTTTTGATGAATGTTTTAAACTAATATCACGACCAATTTTCTTTGATTAGCACTCTGTCATTCTGAATAATCAAATACTTTATTATTAGCATCATCCCTCCTGATTTACAATTTGGTTTTGATCTAATTTAGATCGGAGAAATATACAACTGCAAAAACTAGCTAATTAAAACTAGCATATCAAAAAGATTAATTAAATGTTCGATGAAGTATAAATTGGAGCTTGGGACAATTTTCATTGATAAATGCAACTGGCACAAGTGAAACAATATTCTTTCATAATTTTACTGTTTAAAAAGGGAAAGAAAATGTCGGTTGTTTTACCAAATTTCGGGAATTTAAACGTAGAAATGTCATTGGTAGGGTTAAATTGCTCCGACTTTGGTGAACGATATTGCAAAAATATTCAAGAAATGCACGCAACATCTAAGATTTTAAAATTGAAGCTTAAGAAATGCCACGAGAAGAGGACAATGGAAAATCTTAATCCGTGAAGGAAAATCAGCAGCAACTTTGCTTGAAAGGTATTTGATGACTTTCAGTGCATAATTCTTTCTGTCTTCTTTTCTTCTTTTTTTAGGGAGAGATGTTTAAAAGATATGCTTTGTTTTTAATCCAACAAATTCAATTTACATGAAGACCAGTTCTACTTGTATTTCAAAATAGGAATAACTGTTTAAATAAAAATTACTAGTAATTAATAAAATGAATAATTTGTCATTTACCACAAAAGAAAAAAGTTCTTTCGATGGAAAATTGTTTTTGATGCAACATAGATCCATATTTGAACAATTATTAATTTCATAGCTAAAAAATTAGTTGAGAGAATTCTGAGGGAAATGTGGTACCGATAAAGGACACATTCTAATATTTGTAAATAAATTTTTGTTCCTTTTATAAAATTTCTTTCCCCAACACTTTGTTGACATTCGTCCTCGTATGGTATACTAGATTAACTTATATTTCAGGTTATATCGTTCTGTTTTCCTTTAATTTTTTTTTTTTTTTTTTTTTTTTTTTTTTTTGACAGATTAAAGTTGCGTTTTTTTAAATATGCATTTCAGTATATTTTTAATTGGACACTGTATTTTAACTTCTAGAATAATTAAAATCTAATGCTGTATTATTAATCATTGCTAAATATTAAACAAGCAAATTAAATAAATGATATTTCTTAAAATATTGATATTAATTAAAATTCCTGCTTGATAATGATTCGTTTTCACTTATTTACTTTTGTTTTAAATAATCATTTTTATTTAACAACGTTGAATACATTTATTAGCAGACACAGATAGTGTATAAATGAAATTTTTATTTTCATAAATACTATAATTAACTATAGCATGTATAAATGATTAATTAATTAATTTTAAAAAATCAATAGACAATGATTATTAAGATGATCATGCATGCATACATCTTTCACTTGTGTACAATTTGCAATTGTTCAGGAGTATGACTAATCAAGTGCATACAACTGATTAATCAAATTAAGATTAATTATGATTCATTTTATTCACCCATCAAAATTATATTATATTGTAATTGAATTTTGAAAAATGATTTTAAAAAACAGTTTTCTTCATGCCACATGCAATCGAAAATAATCGAACAATATCGTTTTAATTTAATTTATTTAATTTACTTAATTTTAATTTATTGTGATTCTTATTATTACTTAAGCTTTTTCGATTTTTTTCTTCTTCATTTCTTTTATGAAGATGCAAATACATGTAAAGTGATATATACATGTTACTACCAAGCATATTCGAACAGTGGACATAGAGGGAATTAAAATTATATTTCTCTTCGCAACATATTGTTTGTAAATCCGCCCCTATAAACCATGAAAATTGTAGATCTTTTGTACATGAATAACAATCGTAAACAATTTATTTTCAGGAATAGCTGTCGCCTTCTTGAGGTGTGTTCCATCACTTTGATCCTGAAACTGACAAGAAATTGACATGTAATTGACGCCTCCAAATCACCTCGACACATCATCACGTTGAATGAAGCCGCTCTGGAATAATAAATAAGAATGCTGCCTCTTTGAAGACTATATATGAATGAGAACAATATCTATTAAAAATACCTTGACTCATACAGTGATGAATTTAGTAGAGGCCAAAGTAACTTAAATCACGGAGAGAAACGATGCGTTGAAAGCAAGTACTGTAAAGTTGACATGTATAAATAGTGTACATGTATACAAACCGTACCTGTATTGGTATTAAATCATGCTGTGAAACTGTAATAATTTTTTTCTGCCAGTAATAAATTTACTTGTTATTTGAAATATGTCTTCAAAATATGAATGATACGAATAAATATATATATACAAAGGAGAGGGGGGGGGGGGGAGATTCACGCATAAGGTAATGTAATTAATACATCTGTCCTTCGAAAAACTTTTGTTAAGTTTAGAACCACAAATCACCACCTCCCAATTGAAAGTAGATGGAATGGTACTCAAAGAAATGAAAGAGTTTGTAGCTTATGCAGTAGTAACCAGATAGGAGATGAGTATCATTATATTTTAGAATGTAGTGCTTTAAACCAACTAAGAAAAGTTTATTTGAACCAAAAATTTTGTTCTAATCCAAATATCATCAAGTTTCGTGAAATCATGTGCCAAAATGATGTTGATTCTTTGAAACAATTATGTACATTTATTTCTAAAATTACTAGCATTGTCTGCTCTCCTTAATTATCACCTTCTGCTTGACCCACTGTAATATATGTTTATATGTTTCATATGTTTTTGTACCTCAGTACCTCATGTACCATTTACATGGTTTTGAGAGAATAAATTGAAATTGAATTGAATTGAACTCAACTAATTGCAATGACGATTTGTTTGAAAAAAAAAAAAATGATGAAAATCCCCTCAGAAGAAACCTTGCATTTCAGCTATATAATATGCAATAGATAAACAAAAATTTTAAACCCCCCCCCCCACCAAAAAAAAAAAATACAATTCAGTGGTTCATTTCATTTATATACAATGAATGGTGAAAAATTTATAAGATAAGATCATATCAGAATTAAGAATGCGAGATATATCTAGGTGTGGAGAATGCTATCCAATTTTTTTGGTATGAATCAGTTACAATTCAAAAAAAGAAATGGTAGAAAACCAATAAATGAGGTTTTTGGTTTGTTTTATACAATGATATATTAATTGATATATTATGGAGACGTACATGATGAATGTTGACAAATATAACCTAAAGTTGAGTTTGTAGACCGGTCCTACTGGTAAAGGACAAAGGTTTTTTTTTTTTGCCGGTCGGCATGGGATGCTTACACCTTCATTGCAACGAATACTTACACCGTTTTCAATCAATACTTATATTTGGTATTTTAGACATTATGTATAAATATTTAATTATACATGTATAGAAACCGTACATGTATTGGTATTGAATCATACAGTGAAACTGTGATCATTTTTTTCTGCCTGTAAAGTAATGAATTTACTTGTTATTTGAAATATGTCATCAATATATTAATGATACGAATAAAGATATACAAAGTATGAGAGAGAGAGAGAGAGAGAGAGAGAGAGAGAGAGAGAGAGATATTCACGCATAAGGTAATGTAATTAACACATCTGTCCATCGAACTCAACTAATTGCAATGACGATTTGTTTGAAAAAATGATGAGAATCCCCTCAGAAGAAACCTTGCATTTCAGCTATATAATATACAAGAGATTTTAACCCCACCCCCCAAAAAAATATTCAGTGGTTCATTTCATTTATATACAATGAATACTGAAAATTTTATAATATAAGATCATGTCAGAATTAAAAAGATATATCTATGTAAGAAGAATGCAGTCTACTTTCGTCGATTTATACATGCAATTTTTAGTATGAATCAGTTACAATTGAAAAAATGGTAGAGAACCAATAAACGAGGTTTTTGGTTTGTTTTATATAATGATATATTAATTGATATTATAATGATAAAAATCATATATTATGGAGACGTACATGATAAATGTATACAAATATAACCTAAAGTTGAGTTTGTAGACCGGCCCTACTGATAAATTATATATTAAAAATCAAAACACAATAATGATTGCTTTGATAATCAATGCTTGTAAATGCATGTAATATTCCCATCACTAGCTTGCAGAATTTCGAAGTATTATTTAATTTGGCAAGGTCAATCCAAATATTGGTTGAAATTAAAAACATAAAACTAATCTTTTTTATAGAATCTTAGCAAAAGTTGATTCGAGTGTTCAAAATTAACAAATAATTTAAAGTATAGAATACACAATATATATAAATTCGAACAATTCTATCAATCTAAGAAAAGATTCTTTATCGTAGTTTTGAATCGGGATCGGCCTACAATTTTTAGTTTCAACCTTTCATTGGTACAACGCAGCCGACGTAAACTCATTAAACAAACGGGCTAGAACGACATAGTGCAACGGTAAGTTTTTATCACCGGAAAAGAAAAAAAATACTTTTTGCAACAGTTTAAGCAGATATATTCAAATCAACATGAGCAAAAATATTGTATAGTGTGTCAATCACGCTGCATTTAGTAGATTATGAAATGAAAGGTCATTTTTCAGAACCTTTTAAAAAATATACCAGCCATAATTTACATGCGACTTTTTGTCTGCTTTTCATTAAACAGAAACTTATTCCAAAATAGCTAAATAAAGCTATTATTATATAGGTAAATAAAGCTATATCGGTAAATTAAGCTATATAGCTAAATATAGTGATTTTCCTGGACCTGCTGAACTACATTCCATCCAAATTTTTCTAATAAAGTTAAAATCTAGAGCACATGGGATAAAAGGAGACTCATTCCTTTTATTCTCTCCACTAGCACTGAAAAAGGCGCAAGGAATGGTTTGAAAACTCAGAGAGATTGTGAAGTTCTTGCAGTCTGCATGCAACCATGGGATTTGAGGAATTTTGCAATGGAACTATATGGGTAAATAAAGAATTTAATTCAAATTAAAAATTTAAAAGCCATGAAAGCAAACTTAAGAACCTGAGCATACATTTAAATGCTTCATTTATATAATATGCTGAATTACAGAATACTTGACTATTGGCAAATATAATGTTTATAAAACTGGCATATAGAGTTTATAGCATTGTGCAGTGTTTGGACTTGAATGCCTATTAAAACAAGTTTTCCACAAATTCATTGAAAATCAAAGATACTTGAGATTGGCAATACAATTGTTGTATTTTTTTTTATTGTAGGATGAAAATTTGTTGTTGAACAACTCCTATCCCCAGTTCACAGAGTGCTTTCAGAATACCCTGTTAATATGGGTGCCATGTGGTTTCCTGTGGCTAACTCTCCCATTTTATCTCCCAGCATTAATGTCTTCAAAGGAGGATGTTACACCACTGCCACTCACTTGGCTAAATGTCTCCAAAAGTGTAAGATAGCATTTCTTATTGCTTGAAAATTTTGCCATTTTAATTTCATTACTTTTTAATCATAGCTGATGTAGTGTTAAAGAAGGGAAGAGATATACTGGTATACTGCTCAGTTTCCAAAGTAATGTACATACGCACTACAATCTCTCAAACATCAATTTCTCAAATACCATAGATATGTTGAAGTGATTTGAAGGCCCCAGCCATATATGTTTCAGTAACTTGAATTCTCAGGTATCTAATTATAGTTCTTGGTCATATCTAAGTTTTGTTTTTGGTCTTACTCTTACCAAGTTTGAGATAACTAGGTTTGAGTACTTTGGTTATATTTAACATATCAAAAATGTCACAAAACTTAAAAAAATTTCCAAGGACTTAAGATATTGAGGTTCAGAATGGAATGTTAATTGTTTCAGTTTGGACTGCCAACTCACTTTGACTAATCAATGGCATACATATTCATTATATCAATGTGCAAGAAACGAGAGTTCAATAGTATTTGCAAGTGCTTATGTTTCCCTCTGGAATAAAAATTATTATTTTTTTTTTTCAGTTTATAAGTTTGATTCTAGCATTTCTTAGTGTTGTGGATCTCATCAAAGCAACAAGTGATAATGAATCTAACCATGTTCCATCAGCTGTGTTTGTTGCACTGGGAATTGAATTTGCTTCATATGTAAGTGTTTTCACTTTACAAATATGCACCTGGTTAGAGAATATCCTTTGATCAATTTCTAAAGTATTCAAGTTACAGATTGTTATAACCCTTAAATCAGATTTGAATGGGAAGTTAATTTCATCATTTATTTCCTTCTCAGTTGTAACGCTGTCAACCTATAACCATTGAATTATAGATGTGTTAAATAATACTTAATAAATATTTTGTGAAAGTTAGTGCAAATTTATTTGGGTTCTATTTTCGAAAAATATAATTAAGCAGTTCTCTGTTGAATAATTTTTTCCACATGTTTTTAGATGCTGTCAGCCGTACTTATACAAATGGAGAGAGCACAGGGGTACATCACATCAGGTGTGCTATTTGTGTTTTTTCTGCTGAGAACAGTGGCTGGAATTGTACCATTTTATACCTTTATAGAAGAAAAGGTAAGCATAAATAATAAATATATGATCAGAATTTGTACTTTACCTTACATAAAAATATAGATAAAAAGGAAAGGGACAGTGTTAATACAGCATAAGACTTAAAATGATATAAAATATTCTATTTATAAAAGTTAAAGGATATTGAAAATTTTGTATGTGTTATAAATCTTCAAAAAATGAAAAAGTTGTGTAGATTTGTAAAAGAAAGATGATAGCCATTTTTTTCACCTCTGTATTTTCCTAGGTGTACAATGTGGATCTGGAGAAGTTTGTGCTGTTTTACATTTCCTTTGGTCTCCTGTTCCTACAGCTGGTTTTCCATTGTATTGCTGAGAAAGTGTCAAGAAGAGGCTATTATGAATTGGGCAGAGTAAGGCAAAATTCAACTCAGAGTTATTGTTAGTGAAAGGGTTTCTTTCTCAATGCAAAAATGGAAGAGCTAAGCAAAAATGGATCTTATTGATCTATGAGGACATATTAGATAGCAAAAATACCTATTTCCGATTATGGAAGCAAAACCATAATTCATAATTGGAATAGCAAATTTTTACAATAAAAAAAACAATTGAGATGAGAGAGAAAATCTGAAATTATGTATACATCACCTGCCATAAAATCCATTGTTCAGTTTTGATAAAACTTTTGGTAAACATACTACTTCATAAGGCTTCAACCTGAATACAAGACAACTCAGTTCTAGGGAAGGAGTTTTACAGTAACTACTAACCAGTCTGTTCTGGTTTTTAATTTTGTGAATGATTTGATTTGTTTTTCCCTTTCCTTATAATGATCTTTTTTTCTCCATAGAATCCATGTCCTGAGATCAAGGCTTCGATCTTAAGCAGACTGACTTATTGGTGGATGAACAGGTGTGTGTTTGTCTAAATACAGTAAACATGTTTATAGTTAACACACTTATGTATAATGAATTAACTCTAAAAGCAAAGTTCTTTTCATTCCTCTTTAAAATATCATGAACACCCAAGATCGAGATATAAACAGTTAATCTTATAACGAATCAAATTTGTACATCCCTGTCACTTTAAGCATGTTTTATTGAAAGAGCAAGTCTTTTAAGCAGTTCTTCAACTTTATTTGTTTATTTGTTTAGGGGATAGCCTGTGTTTTATGGAAGCATCTGTGTCTAAGACACTGCCCCCCCAAAAAACCAAATATCTTCAAATACATTTTTTCTTCTGCTAATATTTGAATTTAAGAATTGTGTTTCAGTTTTTACAATCATAAGATTGTGTGGACTAAAACTTCATAAAGGCATTTTTCATTATACTTTTAAAATGTTCTTTTATAAAAATTTTACCTGGTAACTAAACTCTATGAGGCTTATAGAAAGCTTAAAGCCTTCTTCCGAAAGCTGAAGGATGTAATATATAGCTTAAAGCCTTTTTCCTGATTTTCAGAGAGAATTATTTCATTACTGTTTCACAGAAATCTATTATGAACAAGGATTTGGAATGTTTAAGTGTCTTGTTTTCTTTGTGTAGTCTGGTGATAACAGCCTACAAGAAGGATTTGACCGAAGACGACCTGTTTGATTTAAATCCTCGAGATGCCAGTGATAGAGTTGTACCAGAGTTTGCTGAGCAATGGGAAAAAGAAGTAGCAAAACACAGGAAAATTGAGTGAGTGATCTATGGGATTGTCCATATTGATTTAAAACACTTTTTGAAAAGAACACACAAGAAGACATTGAGACAAAAGTTTGTTTTTAAAAGGAATTTTTGTAATTTTTCTCAAGGTTTGAAAATAAATCTTGATCAAGATTAATTATCAACATTAATAAAAGTATCAATTTTAAAAACAGATTGAATGATGTTTCTTGTATGTGTAATTCAAGTACCCTGCCTGAATTATAGCTCCTTGATTGCTAGCTATTTGTTCAAAAAGTTTATTATTAAATTTTAACATACATGTATGTGAAATAAGTAATTTTATTTTCTTGAACTGTGATTTTCATTGTATATTTATTATATTCTTTATAAGAAATTGTATTGATGTTTGATAGATTTATTTCTTATTTTTGATAAATCTTTAATTTAATTTACACAGAAACATCTTAATCAGGTCTGAAATTTGGAAACAATCAAATAGCCTACCATTTACCTGTCCCACCTGGGTCATTATTACACCAAACACAATTTTTTAAAATCATGCCAGCTTGGCTTTTTTTAAAAATCTTTTAATTTTGCTTCTTGATTTAGGAAAAAAATTCCAAGGTCATCCAATGGGCGGTAAAAATTGATTTAAAAAAAAAAAAATAAATATAATGCTTGTATGATAGATATGTAGATACTAATGGTGTGATGTCAAAATTTCTAACTTTGAAGCCTTTATACCAGCTTTCTTAAACTTTAGTAAATGCATGCTTATCTTTTTTTTAAATTGCATGTAATTCTACACATCATAGAATAAATTTTTCTCACTTCTTTATATATTTCAGAGATGGGTAATGGTTTATTTATTTTTTTATTTTTTAAATTTTGTGATTAGAAAAAAAATAATCTGTTTATCTTGATTTCAACTAAACAATTGCATGTTATTAATCTGATAAAATACACTGTTGCATTATGATTTTGTGTAAAACCTTAATATAAGTTGCTTTTGCAAAAATTCTGAATCATTCAGTTAAAAAAAAAATCTTTTTTCATTCTTTATAAACTTTATTAAACTAGATCGATAGCTTAAAAAAGCTATGGAAGAAAAAAAAAGCAATTTTGCAATAACAACCAGTGACTCAGAGCATGAATTACATAACAGCGATAATGTTATCAATGGATTGCTGGATAGTTCAGTAGGGTGTGCATTTTTTGTCTGACAGGTATGCATTATGTTTGAATCTAGGTCACTAGGTTACTCAGGTGGCATTTGATTTTAAAGGTATAAATTGAAAAAGTTTATTGGATTTATCTAGAGTCTACAAAGTATTGTGTTTCCTTGTGAGCTTCATGGCCTAGTTCCAAACATAATATATGACACCCAACATACCAATGTGTATACCTGATTGGGCCATCTAGCTATAATAATTCAAAACTCATGTAATTATTTTTGTTTAATTTGATGCAGTGTCATTTATCTTATATGGCCTTAATGGTTGAGGGTTGAGAGGTTGTCTTTCATGCTGAGTGTAAAAGCTGAATGATTCAAGTGGGGAGCACTTACGAGTTTAATGACAATAAATTCTATTTAAACCAGTTCTTCAGTATAGCTCTAATAATCTGTAATGTAACATGAAGCACATACTGTAAACTTTTAAATTTACACATGGAAGAAATTTATTGGCACTCTTTGAAAAGAAATAATTCACGTTTGTAAATTTTCTTTGAAAAGAAATCATTCACTTATGTAAATTTTCATCAACTATTGTCTTACATTTTCACTTAGAACTAACAATATATATTTATTTTGCTGGTTTTACTGAAATAACCTCAAATATTTCTTGTAAAGTTTTTCAAGGATTCATTTGAATCAATCTTATGTCATTGATGACTTTTTCTTGTAAAATAATTGATATATGGATCATATACACATCCCCTCAAATTGACATATTTTGAATTTATGAATTATGTTTCTTTCAAAGACAAAATGTCACCTTCCAAGTGGACCGAAGACAACAGCATCTACAGGCCTCGGAGAAGACACCTCTGGTGGGCACCTCGAGGCAGAGCTACTCTACAACCGTGGAGATTAAGGACCCCAGCAAGAAAAAGCAGGATGGGGCCTCACTCTTTAGGGTACTAGCAAGGACTTATGGACCAGACTTCCTTAAAGCCTGGGGCTGCAAGTTCATTTATGACTTGTTACAAATGGCTAGTCCCTCTCTGTTGAGGTAAATTGAATTTGAGAAATTGAAGGAGTGGCTATAAAAGTGGTGAAATTGCATTTTAAATGTATACTTCATTGTATTGTAGTTTGTTCGAGTATTGTGTAACTTTTTGTGTGAAAAAATATCTATGACATTCACAACTAAACAGGAATTTGAATATTTATGGTTGCAAAAGGTTAAGATGTATAAATCAGGAAAAGTTGATAGTGAATATTAATTGCCACATTCCCAGTTTTCAGTTGGTGATTAATGAGTAAGAAATGCAGCATACATTTATTGGTTTACAGCACTTCTAAGACATCTACATGTATATAGCTATTCATTCAGTATTGTGTAAAGTGTATGTAACAAAATTTCAGAACTGTTTTGAATATTAGTGCCATTAAATTACTGTAAATGTATTATATTTGGCGTGTATGATATTTGGTGGAAAATCATGCTTCAACAATTAAGCGTAGATTTGATTTAGTGCTCTCTGATTGTGCTAGATATAAATCTATGATAAACAAGACATTTAGTGATGTATTTGATTTAGTGGACGATGCTTTGCGCTAAAATCGCTAAACAGAATACACTGCTAAATGTTATATGTTTACAGTACTATGCATAAAGTAGATTTCAATGCACTCTATATGTTAATAATTTAATATCATATGTTTTCAGTGTCCTAATTGGATATGTGGAGAGCAAAAATGCCGAGGGCTCCACTGAGTATGCATGGAAAGGCTACGTGTATGCTGTGGGATTTTTTGTCATAGCACTTTTACAATCCACATTTTTTCATCAAAATTTTTTTATTGGAATGACATTGGGAATGAGGATTAGATCAGCTCTTATTGCAGCCATCTATAAAAAGGTAAATTAAAAATACTCTGTGTGTACAGTTTGTTTAACTTTTAATCTATATGCATTCAACGTTTTTGGCATATGCAGTTCAACTGCAATATCTCAAACACATATTATGAATGCCATGTATAAATTGAAATGATTTGGAAGTCCCAACTCCTTATTCTTAAAGTAATTTACCTGTGATCTCTCAAATCCTTGGATATCTCAAAGTTTATCTTGTTCCCATTAAAGCTGAACGTGATTCGTAAAAGGAATGTGTCCACCATTTTTGTTGGGAGAATCGCCTTACCTGCAGACCCTTATACGAGGGGCATTTCAAAAGTTCTGGCAACTGTTTCATAAAAGATTAACCGTTTTACGGAAATTATTGAGTTTGATATCATTGGAAAGATCAGAAAAATATATACATATTGTGACGTCACTTTATAATTTTTATGACGTAATAACTCCGAAAATGACGTCAGAATATAGAATGTTTAGCATACTGACCATAAAAATGACGTAACAAAAGACACAATTTGATAAAATTAAAATTTTCAAGACAACTTTTGCTCATTACTCGGACGCAAGCTAACGGACGCAAATGCCAGTTGGTGGAACGTTTACATAGACTACAATCTATCATATTGTATTTTATTTCGGAGATCTTCTTGTTCTGAAATGGTTTTAGCGAGTGTCAAACTTAGCATGGTTTTATCAAATCTCGCTCAAACTTTTGCGTAAAAGAGACCTAAATGTGAGAAAAAGATAAAGTTGACAATCAAAGAAAAATAGGCGATCATGTTACAAAATTTGATGGCATAAATTCGTCAGGTGTTTTAACCAGATTTGTGGTATCGATGAAGGCTTAAGAGTAGGTAAGTTTAGTGTGCCCTATATTTTGTCGTAAAATCCAAAATGGCGGCAGCGCAGTTGCAACCCAACCGTACCTCCACATATTCGCAAATTTTAATGTATGGAAAATAAATAAGACTTTACATGTCTGACTAACTTATATTCATTTTTTGGATTCAAAAGTCAAAAGCAGTAGTGAGTTTTGGGGCGCCGAAGTTGAATTTGTATGAAAAAATAGGCACAGAATCAAGTCGGGGACAAGATTTAGTACATTTTATTCGTAATCGGTAAGAGTCCTGTTACTCAAAATATATTTCATGAAAACTGCATTAATATACTTCAGTTTAACGAGGCTGGGGGGTGGCAGCCATTTTCAGACTATTTCTATCTCCTTTAAAAGGAGAGCTCCATATAAAGATATAGAAAATGATCAAAATTTAAAACTAAAATTCATGATTTCTTTCTTTGTCAAATGAATGTTGACAGCTTAAGATACCATATCTAAAAAAAATAAGTTAAATCTGGTGGTTACTTTGTGGTTAAATTGTTGACCCCCCAGCCTCCTTAATACAGAACATGTTTTATTTCAAACAATGGAGAGCTATATAAAAGACCGAAAATCCAACCGTATCATGTAAATAAAAATCTTAAATGAATGTTTATGATAGCATAACCGGACATAAACCGTGCTCGTAAACAAACCATACAATGAATAATGGAATTGCTGATAAACAGTATCATAGTCCTACTCTACCTCTTTGCCAATTAAAATTTTCTTTGAAATATTTTTTCAAATAAGCCTTTGGCAGCACTTTTACGATCGTCTCATGTGGATAAAAATGCAACTTTTCAGTATGATAAACATTCTATATTCTGACGTCATTTTCAGAGTTATTACGTCATAAAAATTATAAGGTGACGTCATAATATGTGTATATTTTTCTGATCTTTTATATACTCAATAATTTCCGTAAAACGGTTAACTTTTTATTAAACAGTTGCCAGAACTTTTGAAATGCCCCTCGTATAAAGGGCAGGACTTTGTCATTATTCAGTGTAATCAGTCGACACCGGTGTAGACGGACATATGCTATACAGCACTTCGTAGCAACAATAATAATGTAATACTTTGTCTAATGCAGGAAAGTAAAATACCAAAGAAACTTACAATTATAGTTGTACAGGTCAGTGCAGTATACAAACAACACATATAAACGTAACTGCAATAAAATGTAAACAAAGGTAATGCAAGATAACCAGCACAAACATGGGTCACCATTCCACGCCGATACCCGTGACAATAAAGCAGTCAGGTGTGACGAATCTGAAGAGTATATACCCTGGTGTTGATATATTGTAGATAATTATTCCGAAAATGGCGTATGCTATTTACAAGTCGTGTTCAGCTTTAATTTGTAGATAATAAAACTTCACTGTACATTTATTGTTTAGGATTTGACAATTCTTTTCCCTCGCAACAAAAGTATATATGCATTTTGTGAAATGTTTCAAATTGAACATTACATACATGTTTTTATCAGTATTTTTTCCCTATCTATTTAACTATAAACAGATATACGAGGGTCATTCAAAAAATACGTAGACAATGCTTCTCATCGTCATAAAATTATTACAAGATTATAGATTAACACATTTTCGTAAACATAAACATTTATTTTGTTGAAATGTGAAGTTTCATTCCATTTGATTAAATAGAACTCATGTTAGCCAAAATTTAAACTAACATGTTTTGTTACCACGGAGCACGGTTAACCAACATTGTAACGTCAAAGACAACGTTGAGAAAGTTTGTCAAAATTATAGTAATTTTCTTAATTTCAAACAAGGTTTGTAGCGTCTTCTTCATTAAAAAAAACATAGCCATAACACTTAACACCTAGTTTGCGAACAATTGTACAAATATAGCTTGAATAAGAATGTCATTGTTTTCAAATTTACCATGTAACTCTATTAATTCTGCAACAGTGAAGCCCACATCACGTTCAGTGACGTTCAAAACTCTTTCGACAATATTTTAACCTTAACCTGTTTCTTTGCAGACAATCCATCTTCCGATTCAAACTTGCTACAACTCAAAAACTGTATTTTCCATTTAATACAAATACAAAGATTATTTTTCATACAGATCCTGGTTTATACGGATTTTTTTTTACGTAACGTAACGTAGAAGAAGTTCCCCGATTGTACAGTACAATTTTATTGATACTTTCTGCTCCGTGACGTCCTTTAACGTCATTGTTTTTGGCTTTTTTTAATCAAGTCCATATGTATTTAGAACCTGGTATATCTTTTAAATGGAGCGACATATTACATAACCTGATTTCATTTTAATTAATACAACAATACTTTATTCAAACATGTAAATTTTATTTCGTTTCAGCTCCATTTATTATAGATATTGCTATAAATACTATAAAGTGAAAATTAGTAAATTACTCAATTTTGACGGTGCTCTGTGACCCCATTTTTGCTGTTCTAAATCCTTGGTAATTTTAATAAATATGAAGATACATTCCAATTTTTTTACTCAAATTATTTGAATCTGTTGTTAAAATATTTGTACCAAATTTGGATATAATATGACGTTAAATAAAAAAGTTAGGACAAAAGTCTACGAACTTTTTGAATGACCCTCGTAAAATCAAAATATCTCCTGAAAAATTCATTGAATACAAAACTGCATTTTCCCATGTGGTTTCATTTCAGTCGTTAACAATGAACAATGAGGCGAGGAAGTCTTCGACAGTGGGAGAAATCGTGAACCTAATGTCGGTGGATTGTCAGCGGATGCAGGACCTCAGCGGATATCTGTGGATGTTGTGGTCGGCTCCAGTACAGATCACGCTGGCTATGTATTTATTGTGGATGCAGCTGGGTCCATCTGTACTCGCAGGTAAACAGTGGTCAATATATACAAAATTGTAACTGATAGGTATGATACACTCTGAAAAAAGCATCATAAGTCAGAAATGGAGATTAAGTTTAATTCTTACAAATACAGTTTTACTGTGTTATCCTGATAAACTTTAAAATCTCAAACATCTTGAATATATTGAAGTAAGTTTAAAGTCCCAATCATATTTCTCTATGTCCTTTAATAATAACTCATGTGATACTTAAAATTAATTTTATACGTGAGATTTTTATTTTCACATAAAAAGACTTCTTTCAAAAAATTCATAGTCATGTATATTTTTATTATCTTGTATGCAAAGATTCAATGACTATCTCGTCAAAATAAGCAATTTTACTGTATCTCAAAATTTTCACCTGGTTCCTTGGGTTCAAGACAGTGAGGTTCAGTATAAGAATTGTTCTGAATTTTGGTAATTGGTTTGTCTGTGTTTCAGGGTTGGGATTGATGCTTCTGCTGATTCCAGTTAATGCTGTCATCTCAATGAAACAAAGGAAATTACAGATTGACTTGATGAAGTTCAAAGACAAAAGACTGAAACTCATGTCTGAGGTGTTGAATGGAATGAAGGTAAGTATTAATACTGGCATTTACTTATGTTTTGAAATTGAACTTTGATTTTGATTATATTTAACCAAATTCAAAAATTTTTCTCATACCAACTTCATTTGGAAGGGTTTAGAAAACAATTTTATACATTTAAATAATAAATTTTATGCAATAAAGTCACATATGCATGCAGAAATACTGAACTTTAAAGTTTGACTCTGATATATAGCATCAATAGGTTATTTGACTGTATTCAATCTTTATTGATGAATTGTCTGTAACTGCATGGTCTTAATTTATATTTACAGGTGTTAAAATTGTATGCTTGGGAGCCATCTTTTCAAAAGAAGATTTCAGAGATCAGAGATAATGAAACAAGAATTTTAAAGAAAAATGCCATGTACAGTGCTTTCAGCTCTTTCTCCTTCACAACTGCTCCATTTCTGGTAAATGACAGACTATTTACTGCAGGGGTTTAATTTTTCCTTAATATGCACTGGTCCAAAAACATTTAAGCTTGTAAAATTCACTAGTGTGTGTCATTAAAGTACTTGTCCAAATAAAAACAAATCAAACATTGTTACAGTGTATGCTTAATTTTGATAATTTTTTGATGCATCATAAGGCTATACAGAGAAATTAAAATAATTCTGCAATAGCTGAAATTATAATAAAATATTAAAAAAATTGCCTCAAGCATTTTAGAACTATCTGAGAGGAATACATGTACATGTATTTGCACAATGTGTCAATAAGTCATTAATGTTTTGATAAGTCTGGTGCAGGAAGTGAAGTGCAGCATCATTAAAAAAAAAAGTACACAATTTATTACATCATTCATTTGTCCTTGATAACCCCTCTGACCTTTGCTCTATATTATTCAGGTGACCTTGCTGACCTTTTTGGCCTATGTGTTGACATCAGATACAGGTTACCTTAGTGCCCAGAAAGCCTTTACTTCGCTGTCTCTGTTCAACATTTTAAGGTTTCCTATCAATCTGTTACCCATGATGATCTCCTATGTCATACAGGTAGGCAAGACTATTTCTATCTGATGAGAGATTTAATTAAGGACTTTACACTTTATTCTCATGGTCTCATTATGATTGTTCACACATATAGTTTATAAATAATTTTCGGCAGTTTTGTCAGAAAAATATGTTTTTATTTTTTTTTTTGCTCATCGGAGCTGAAAGCTCAAGTGAGTTTTCCTGATCAACCATTGCTCAGTGTGTCTGTTGATCTGTCCAGATGTTAAGCTGTTTGTCCATCCATCCCTTTGTACATGTATGTCTGTATTTCTTGTTTATGAAATCTTTGATGTCGTTTTTCAGGCTAATGTCTCCATTGGAAGAATATCAAAGTTTTTGAAAAATGATGATTTAGATCCAGATGCAGTACAACATGAGCCAAAATCAGGTATTGTTTTTAAAGAATTAATTATATAATTATATAACACATACATGTATGCTATATAAAAAATAACTATAATTGCATCTGGAATTCTGAAGATATTTTAGATAGATACATAATAAGTTTTTTTGCAGATTCAGTGGTGTCTGTGGAGAATGGCACCTTTAGCTGGGATCCTGAATTACAACCAGCTCTCAGAGAGTAAGGGAAAATTGAAATTTTTAATTTAAAAAACAAGAGGATTTAATTTACTTACATATCACAGAAAAATTCTTTGAGGTAAAAAATACTGATTTGATTAGTTGTACAAAGTTAGTTATACATATAAAAATAAAGATAGTGGATATGTGTGATTTCACTGTACGTTCCATTACTAATAGTGGTGGATCCAGATTTTTATAATTACATGTATCATTGCTGTAAGTTGTTGCTAATATAACCTGTAAGTTTGGGAATTTGACCTGTATTTCAGTATAGACTTTAAGATCCCCGCCGGTAAGCTGGTGGCAGTGGTAGGGCAAGTGGGGTCGGGGAAGTCCTCCCTCCTCTCAGCCCTACTGGGAGAAATGGAGAAAGTCTCAGGCAGTGTCAATGTCTTTGTAAGTCTCTCTTACATGTATCTCAGTTAAAAAAAGATTCTAACTGATAGAAAATTCTCAATCAATCAAAATTTATTAGAGTCTTCCTCTGTAAGCTAATTGTACATTAATATATTAGCACATTTGAGTTTTTTAACATTGTGTATTAGTTTAATTGGCATTTAAATGATTCAGAATATGCTAAAATAAGTACAGTATGTTTCAAGCAAAATTTTCACTTGTTGCAGAAATAATCAATGCTGTTAGATTGTCCAAATATTAGAACTGTTTTCTTCTCTGCTTTGCAGGGTAATGTGGCATATGTTCCACAACAGGCCTGGATCCAGAATGCCACTGTCAAAGACAACATCCTGTTTGGTAAGCCCATGGAGGACGGTAAATACAATGAAATACTGGACGCCTGTGCTCTCCGAACAGATCTAGAGATCCTGACGGGGGGAGATATGACAGAAATTGGAGAAAAGGTTTGTGTCATAATAAAGAAAGTTAAATGTATGTGATTAAATCAAATTGTAAGTTTTTACTGCTACTAATAGGTAATTATATCCCCCGCAAACGAAGTTTGGGGGGGTATATAGGAATCACCTTGTCCGTCTGTCCGTCTGTCTGTCTGTCTGTCTGTCTGTCCGTCTGTCCGTCCGTCCGTCTGTCTGTCTGTCCGTCTGTCTGTGCAATCGTGTCCAGTCCATATCTTTCTTACAGAGGGACATTAGAATCTACTACTCCACACTAAGATTGCTCATGACCTAAGGGTGTGTCATGACCTTGACCCAAGGTCATTTGGGGAAGTTCAAGGTCACTGGAAGAAAAATTTCATAATTCGTGTCCGCTCCATATCTTTCTTATTGATAAACTTGGTAGGTTCTCATTTCACACAAAGATTGCCCATGACCCAAGGGTGTGTCATGACCTTGACCCAAGGTCATTTGAGAAAGTTCAAGGTCACTGGAAGAAAATTTTCAAAAATCATGTTTGATACATATCTTTTATAGATAAACTTGGTAGGTTCTCATTTCACACAAAGATTGCCCATGACCCAAGGATGTGTCATGACCTTGACCCAAGGTCAATTTGGAAAGTTCAAGGTCACTGGAAGAAAATTTTCATAATTCCTGTCCGGTCCATATCTTTCTTATGGATAAACTTGGTAGGTTTTTATTTCACACAAAGATTGCCCATGACCCAAGGGTGTGTCATGACCTTGACCCAAGGTCATTTGGGGAAGTTCATGGTCACTGGAAGAAAAATATCATAATTCGTGTCCGGTCCATATCTTTCTTATGGATAAACTTGGTAGATTCTCATTTCACACAAAGATTGCCCATGACCCAAGGGTGTGTCATGACCTTGACCCAAGGTCATATGGGGAAGTTCATGGTCACTGGAAGAAAAATATCATAATTCGTGTCCGGTCCATATCTTTCTTATGGATAAACTTGGTAGATTCTCATTTCACACAAAGATTGCCCATGACCCAAGGGTGCGTCATGACCTTGACCCAAGGTCATTTGGGGTAGTTCAAGGTCACTGGAAGAAAAATATCATAATTCGTGTCACGTCCATATCTTTCTTATGGATAAACTTGGTAGGTTCTCATTTCACTGAAAGATTGCCCATGACCCAAGGGTGTGTCATGACCTTGACCCAAGGTCATTTGGGGTAGTTCAAGGTCACTGGAAGAAAAATATCATAATTCGTGTCCGGTCCATATCTTTCTTATGGATAAACTTGGTAGGTTCTCATTTCACTGAAAGATTGCCCATGACCCAAGGGTGTGTCATGACCTTGACCCAAGATTATCTGGGGAAGTTCAAGGTCACTGGAATAAACATTTCATAATTCGTGTTTGATACATATTTTTATTATGGAAAAACTTACTTCTGAAAAACCCAGCGGGGGGTATTTTGTCCCGTTTGGACAGTTCTAGTTTCTTCAGAGATTACTTAATCTTTTTCCTTGTGATAAAAGTTAACTGTGTCTGAAATTTTGATGTGATTTTGTGATAAACATGTTATTTCTCATTGCATCACAATGATCAGATTCAGACTTTGTTGAAACTGACACTTGATTAACTTACATGTAAAACTCTGATTGCAAAGCATGGGTTAAATGGCTCTGCCTAGCCATCTATGGAATTGATCAACCTGATATATTTCTGTAGGCAGTCAGTAACAAACCCAATATTAAGTATATTGATTGTCCTTTAGGGTATAAACTTGAGTGGGGGACAGAAGCAGAGAGTGAGTTTGGCCCGAGCCGTCTACAACAATGCTGACATCTACATGCTTGACGACCCTCTGAGTGCTGTAGATTCTCACGTCGGGAAACACATCTTCCAGAAAGTGGTGGGAGACAAGGGACTGTTACGCAACAAGGTGATTATTTGTACAGGTCTTTTATCTTATATACATGTATCATAATTGATCAAATCATTGGGGCTGGGACAATTTCCCTTGATGCAATAGCTCTGACTTTATAGTGCAAGTGATTTAGTGTTTATAATTTTAGTACAGATATATTAGTATTAGCTTTATTCCAAAAAGGAATATATTTCAACAACTATAAACAGGTATATTAATTTTAGCTCATCTGAGCTGACAACTTGAGTGTGCTTTTCTGAGCATTTTGCTCATCCGTCTGTCCATCTGAACACCATTCAGATTTCAAAACCATTGGGCTTATTTTAACCAAATTTGCCACAAAGCATTCTTGGATGAGGGGGTTTAAAGTTTTTTTTGACATACTGTAGATTCAAATTTTATTGCATTTACTTAATAAGAATAATTTGTATGAAATGCTTGTTTTTATGCCCCACCATAAATAGCCAGGACATATAGTGTTTGTCATGTCCGTCTTCCATCCTTCCGTCCTTCTGTCTAGCTGTCCTTCCATCTGTCCTTCTGTCACACTTTGCATTTAGCTCAGTTCAAAGCTCAGTTTCAAAGAAACTACCCAAGATATTTTCATCAAACTTCATAGGATGATAGATATTGATGAGAGCTATGCAACTGCATCAACATTTTTTGACCTTGACCTTTCCTTTGACCTTGACTTCACTTTTCTTAAATTAGTGTTTAGCTCAGTTTTAAACATACCATTCAAGATAGTGTTATCAAACTTCATATGCTGATACATACTGATGAGAGCTATTCAACTGCATCAACATTTTTGACCTTGACCTTTCCTTTGACTTTGACCTCACTTTTCTAAAATGAGTGTTTAGCTCAGTTTCAAAGAATTCATCTAAGATATTTTTATCAAACTTCATATGCTGATACATACTGATGAGAGCTATTCAACTGCATCAACATTTTGACCTTGACCTTTCCTTTGACCTTGACCTCACTTTTCTTAAATGAGTGTTTAGCTCAGTTTTAAAGATACCATTCAAGATAGTGTTATCAAACTTCATATGCTGATACATACTGATGAGAGCTATGTAACTGCATCAACATTTTGACCTTGACCTTTCCTTTGACCTTGACCTCACTTTTCTTAAATAAGTGTTTAGCTCAGTTTTAAAGATACCATTCAAGATAGTGTTATCAAACTTCATGTGCTGATACATACTGATGAGAGCTATTCAACTGCATCAACACTTGACCTTGACTTTACTTCATAAATTAGTGTTAAACTTCTATGCTGATACATACTGATGTAAGCAATTCATCTGCAACATTTTTTACCTTGACCTTTCATTTGACCTTGACCTCACTTTTATCAAATTGTGATAAGTCAGTTTTAAAGAAACCATTAATATTTTTTCAACTTCATATGCTGATACATACTGATGAGAGCTTTTCAACTGCATCAAATTTTTTTTTACCTTGACCTTGCCTTTGAACCTTGACCTCACTTTTCTTAACTTAGTGTTAAACTTCATATGCTGATACATACTGATGTAAGCAATTCAACTGCATCACTATTCAAGATACCGTATAATCCCTATTAACCGCCCCTGCCCCTGTAAGAGCCCCCTTAGGTATTTTCAGTTGTCAGGAAATAAGGGTCCCTTGTACAGTTATTAAAATCAACTAGAATCGTATCGAAAAATTGAAGAAAGTGAAAATAAAACTTGTCTATTAACCGATTTCTCAGTGGAAAATGAATAATCTAGCATAATTTGGATTGATTATCTTCACTTTAAAGCAATATGAGCTGCGTGTTTGACATTGGAATTTTTTTTTTTTGCAAATTTGTAACAAACTAATTTAATGACAGAAAAATAAATCATTTATAAACTTCTGTTGTTCATCTTTGCCATGGAAATTTTTTATTAGCTTTGATTGAAACAAAATTGAATTATTGTCGTCTTGTACAATAATGATCTCTTATATAAAACTGTATATTCGGTTGTGCAGAAATGTTTCTTCTGAAACATTTTTAAACTTTATTGTGGGGTGATTTGTCATAAGGGTTTAAATTACATACAAATTAATCATAATAGCACATTTTACCATCAAAATAAAATTTTCAAAGATACAGCTCATATTGCTTTAAGTAAAGTTAGAAATTATTTTAGTGGTTCCTTGTATTCATTTTTTTTAAAAAAGATTTTTTGAAGGTAAAATATGACATTAAATATCATAAAGAGAATACCAAATTAAAATAACCGCCCCCTTTTTGGAATTTTCTAAGCGCCCGGGGCGGTTAATAGGGATTATATGGTATTCTGAAATTTCATACACAGATTCGAATTTTCATGTTGCATTACTGATATAACCTCGGAGGGGCATTCATGTCCTATGGACATATTTCTACTTCTGAATTACCTTTAATGACATTTCCATGGTTACAGACCAGAATAATGGTGACTCACGGAGTCCACTGGCTGCCTATGGTAGACTCTATCATTGTGTTGATTGATGGAAGAATCACAGAGATGGGCACCTACGATGAACTGCTGAGTCATGATGGAGCGTTCGCCCAGTTCCTGAAGACATACCTGACACAGGAAAATGAGGATGAGGAAGAGGATGAAGAAAGTAAATATACATAGTTAACTAGCATTTTAGCAAATACGGTGTAATACACTCATAGCCACTAGCGAACATGCTTATAATGAATTGACGTTTATAGCAAAGTGACTTTTATTCACTGCTGATTTTAAAAATATTTTGAAGCTAATGGATATAATGAATTACATTTATAACAAAGCAAAATAGCCTGCTCTTGGCACTTTGTTATAAGTGTGTTTTACTGTATTGATGTTTCAGACAGCTGAATAGAAATACACCGTACAAGTAAAATAGGAACAGATTCTGCTCATTTTTGTGGGAGCTTTGAATTAATATTGGGGATATTTTTTTCTGTTTGGTACACATGTACATGTTTTTAAATTTTATGCAAAATTTTTCAGACATGAATATTCAGATTTATAATATGTCTTTGATTGTAAAAAAAGTCTTTAAATTAAGAATGCCTGTCTGTCATTCCTTGTATTTGACACTGTAAGATTACTTGTAATCTATTTGCAAATGATTTTTAGGAAATAAATCTTGTTTGACAGTCCTCAGATTTTTATGTCATTTCCCCTTTTCAACAAAGTTGCAGTGGAGGAAAACTGCATGAGACTCTATCTTTATGACTTAGTCAATCTGTTAGTACTTATGAAGAAACAAGGTACATGTAAAACTCAGTTTTAAGATCATTTCCAGCTTATTTCAATGGTAACCAAATGGAACTGGGAGATTTTTGCAGCTGAGGTTATTTATCGAGATTTGTACTTTTCTTGTGCCCCTGCAGGGTACATGTATATTGGTCGTGTTATGACATAGATGATTTTTAAAATCATTTTAATACCTTTTACTTTTACCAGTTGAACAGATGAAAAGTAAAATTCTACAGAGAGTTGAGTCTGTTACCTCGGACACTGGGGCTACATCAGGGGATGATGGAAAAGTCAGAAAAAGGTATGGAATCTGAATCATCTTTCATATTTATTGTTTTAGCTTTATATTAATTTACTCTAAGCACAAGACTTTATTTCTATGTAGAAATGTACAATGTACTATATTCAAAAAACAGTTCCAAAAATAATTTTCTTTTCAAACATTAGGCATATTATTCATGTATTTGCTTCCTTTTTAAGGAAAGACAAAAGTGAGAAACCTCCACTGGCAAGATCTATCTCAACAATTGATGGTTCTGAATTGAAAGATAGGAAAGATTCAAAGACTAAAGAAGATGCTCCTAAACTGAAAGAAAAGGATAAGCTTATAAAGGAAGAAAAGACAGAAAAAGGCCAAGTAAGTAATCTCCACTGAAAAGACAGAAAAATGCCCATTAATTAATCTCCACTGAAAAAAACCCCACATTAAATAGCTTTCACTAGAAAATGCATAGTAAATTACATCCACCAAAAAAGGCACAATATCAAAGATACTTTCAATGAAAAAATGCACAATAAAAAACTTCCAATAAAAAAATCCCCAGGGTGATATGAAAGTCACTTCTATTAAAAAAATCAAGCATTATCCCCATTAGAAAGCAGATTTGACAATGTCTACTATCTTGTTAGAATGCCCTGATTTGTCTTTTTTTTTTGAACTGCTTTATCTAAAAAAAAAAAAAGCGTAAGTTTTTGCGTAACGGGCTCATTTTATGTTAAAAGTCAATAAATAAATACCTAAATGTAGATACATGCACATGTAAATACATGTTCAATATTTGGATTATTTTTATTTTTTAGGTGAAGTGGAAGGTATTCATGATGTACTTCCGCGCTTTAGGACTTGCTGCCTCCGTGGTTATCCTCATCATCTTTGTTATCTTCCAAAGTGCCAGTGTGGGAGCTAATATCTGGCTCTCTATCTGGACCACGGACAAACAGCTGGCTAACCTTAGTCAGGCCAACACCACAGAATACCAGGACAAAAATTACATGTATCTCGGGGGCTACGCTGCTTTTGGTGTGGTTCAAGGTAATTCAGTTTTCATAGGCAAAGGAAATTTTTAAAACTTTTGCTGCAGCATTTTGCCTTATGTATATAAGAGAACAAAATTGTGAACATGGAAATGTTAATACAGTATTAGTAGTAGTTCTTTTGAAATGGCCAAAAATATGAGAGAAAGCAATATTTCAGCTTAAAAATATATTTACAGCAAATAGCAAGTGTTTATTATATGTTTGCTCCCTCAAACTAGGGGCTTGTAAGGCCTATGAGGATGGGACCTGGATTAATTAAGTTCATAAAGTTTTATCAATTTTTAAGGTATATTTTTAGCTCACCTCAACGAAGTTGGGGGAGCTTATGTAATACCCTCGGTGTCAGCGTCTGCGTCGGTGTCGGTGTCGGCGTCCCAGGTTAAGTTTTTTGGAGCAGTTTTCTTTTTAAATACTTCTGTGTCCTATATTGAATAGACATGCATGGAAGATCCTTCTAGTGTGTTTCATTGTACCAGTCAAAGTTTCAGATGCTGCAATTTCAGCAGAGGAATTACCAGGTTATGTTTTTGGAGCAGGCTAACATTTTTGGTGCACTTTTTGGTGTAGGTCTCATTTCCAAGGAACTATAAACCCTATGTTGACCAAACTTGCATGGATGATACATCAAAGGATGCACACTACCGGGCTTGCTTCGGATGCTGAATCTCACCTACATTTTCCGGTTGAGCGAACAGGTTAAATTTTTGGTGAAGGTTTCATTGCCAAGTAAATATGAGTACTATAATGACCAAACTTGCATGGATGATACATCTTAGGATGCACACTAATGGACTTGCTTTGGATGCTGAATCTGACCTACATTTTCCGGTTGAGTGAACAGGTTAAAGTTTTTGGTGAAGGTCTCATTTCCAAGTAACTATGAGCACTATAATGACCAAACTTGCATGGATGATACTTCTAAGGATGCATACTACCAGGCTTGTTTCGGATGCTGAATCTGACCTACATTTTCTGGTTGAGTGAACAGGTTAAAGTTTTTGGTGCAGGTTTCATTTCCAAGTAACTATAAGCCCTAATTTGACCAAACTTGCATGGATGATACATCTAAGGATGCATACTACCAGGCTTGCTTCGGATGCTGAATCTGACCTACGTTTTCGGGTTGAGTGAACAGGTTAAAGTTTTTGGTGCATGATTCATTTCCAAGTAACTATGAGTTCTTTAATGACCAGACTTGCATGGACGATACATCTTAGGATGCACACTAATGGACTTGCTTCGGATGTTGAATTCAACATACATTTTTCAGATAATGGACCAGGTAAAAGTTATGGGTGCAGGTCAATTACCAAAATGCTTTAAGGCTTATATAACATTGTATAAACCAAACTTGCACAAATGATGCATCAAGGGATGAAAACTCTCAAATTTGCTTCAGATGCTGGATTTTAGTTACATTTTCATGAAGAAGAACTAGTTTAATTTCAAAGTATCAGATCAAAATTGCATGAATATTTTCATTTTTGTACACTTTTTGTTGGTTAATTGTGTGACTTTGCCTTACTTAAAGACAACATTCGTTGAGGTGAGCTCTGTAATCTCTGATGACCTATGTTCTAACTGCATAGGGGTAGACAAATAGAATTTTTCAGTACTTGCCCTCGGTCAGGTTACCATCGTAAAACTACTTGTCCTAGCTACCAAAAAATATGCTTGTCCCACATTTTTCTTAAATTACATAGAATTGAAGCATTGATATTAAATTATTTCTTGACTGAGACACCTAAACACTACACAAGGACCATTCTAGATCTAAAATCATGAAATTCTTCCACAGATAAATGTAGTGGAAAATATTTAGTTTTATTGAGTATTCTTTCTCAAAATTCTGCAATCCTTTGTTAAAATGTATTTATTTAATTAATATTTAAGGTGAAGATATCGGACAGTGATCAATCACATAAAACCTACAAACAACCCAAGTCTGTGAACAGAACACTACTGCATGTCGATTAAGAGATCGACATCATGGCTGTGTGATTGCCAGGGAACTGCAATCAACAACAATTTTAATACCACTAGCATTTGTATTCACTGTATGAATTTAATATTTTGACAATAAATGTCTAAATTCCAATACAACGTTTTTTGACGACATCAATAACACCATGTTTTACGACATCTGCATTTTTTAACAACACGTTAATGGGTTAATTCTAGAGGAGGTCTGACTATCCGATGTACGTATCATCCTATGTACAGCTGAAGCAGTGGTCAACAGCAGTGAAAACATCTGCTTTGCTGTGATTCATGATACTTTTAAAGCGATAACACAAATATATTTGAGTACTGTACTTGATTTTTATTTGTTAATTGGAAAAGCACTTGTCTGCGGGCAGGCACCTGTTATCAAATTACTTGCCCGCGAACCAAAAGTGGTTGTGCTGGGTGTAGGGCAGTGCTATTTGTCTAGCCCTGACTGCATTTCTTTAATTTCCTTATTGTTTAGGACTGGTGGTTATGATCTACACTCTCCTGGCAACATTCAAAATGGTGGACGCCTCTCGTAAACTTCACAATGCCATGTTAGAAAATGTCATGAGAGCGCCGATGAGTTTCTTTGACACCACCCCCATTGGTCGTATAGTGAACAGATTCTCTCGGGATGTAGAGACCACAGATTCCACCCTCCCCATGGTTTTGAGGATGTGGCTGAACAGCTTTTTCACTACTCTCAGTACTTTTGTCGTGATTAGTTACAGTACACCCCTGTTTTTGACTATCATTATTCCTGTGCTGATTTTATATGTATTGGTGCAGGTAAGATGAAAGATAATTTTTGTAACTTATTAAACTAAAGCTTTTTGTATGTTACTAGAGACTTTAAAATCTAGGTTTGGGGAAAACTACCTTGTTTTGGAGAAATTTGAAAAATGCCTTATGTTACATGAATTTACTCTACATTAAAGAATACAAAGTCAATGCTAAGTAAATGTTTTGGTATCAACTTCAGCAAATGTGCCAGTGATGAGAAATAATAATTATTTTACAGAGATTTTATGTGCCTACTTCAAGACAACTCCAAAGAATAGAGTCTACCACAAGATCACCTATATTCAATCATTTTGGGGAGTCTATAAGTGGAGCCTCCTCTATCAGAGCTTACCATGAAGAAGACAGATTTATTAATGAGTCCCTTTCAAGAGTGGATAAAAACATCTTGTATACCTTTGCCAGGACAACATCAAACAGGTAAAATTTACCCAAGTCCTTGAAATTGACAGATATTGATATGGTGAAAGTGTCTACACTAGATTATACTATTCCGTGTGTGACTTTAACATTTATAAATGTCAAATTCACATATTGATAAAATATTTGTCAAAAATATTTTTTAAAATATTGATAGTAAATTTGATTGAAAAAAGTTGACTTTTTATATGATGTAGATGGCTTGGTTGGAGACTGGAGTTTGCTGGTAATCTTATTGTGTTTGCGGCAGCCATATTTGCTGTTGTCACTCCAAATCTAAGTGGAGGTTTAGTGGGTCTTTCTGTATCGTATGCTCTGCAGGTATAGTTTTACTTATAGATAAACAATCATTAGGAAAGATTGTAATCAGAAAAGAATTTTTATATTTTTAAGGCTCATCACCCCTCTCACTGATATTAAAAAAAATTGTCTTAAAGATTGATTTTCTAATAAGAAATTTATTAATAGTAAAAATGCAAACAATTTCAGGATACGTGGTGGAGTAAAATTTGTTAAGAATGATCTTTAATTTGACAATTTTTAAAGGTATTATTGAATTTTTGTTCCAGATAGAGTAATTTCTCTTATCAGAGAGAGAGGCAAAACTTAATTAATTATAGGCATGAAATATGTTAATCCAGAATTTAAAACATATCCCCTTTCACCTCTATTGTGAAAATAATATTTGTCTGTAAAAAGGAAAATTTTAAGACAAAATTCTGTTAAAAAATGAATTGTGTTTTGTAGGTGACAAGTGTCCTCAACATGTTGGTCCGACAGACAGCTGATCTAGAAACAAATGTGGTCTCTGTGGAAAGACTAAAGGAGTACTCAGAAGTAGAAACAGAGGTTTGTATTATTACTCTCCTACTGATTTTTATAAATTTACATTTACTTTAATTTGAAAAATGGAAGGTATTTTAAAAAAATCAATTTCATAAATTTTTTTAAAAAATTTTCATTTGTACTGCAACATTCATACACATATTTAGTTTTGTGACATATACAAATTCATAATGGTGATGGTGTTGTTGTAATATCAATGAATTCTTATGTCTTTCTTATATTGACAATGGTTTAAAAAAAAATGAAACAATATGTCTTCATGCATGTATGTGGAAAAAATCCATGAGATATCATTTGACACTATACAGGCTGATTGGATTCGTCCCTTCAGAAGACCTCCCCACGATTGGCCCGGTATGGGCGGAGTTATCTTCCATGATTATAAGACCAGATACAGAGAAGGGTTAGACCTTGTTCTGAGGGGAATATCCTTCCAAGTGCTGGGTGGCCAAAAGGTGAGATATTTGACCTAGCAAATACAGTTATAACAATTGTATGAAATATTTGTGTCTAGAGTTATTGGAATGCAGCATGAAATGAATTGTATAATTACATACAGTAAAAATTGATATGAAATACATGTACGTTTTGGTTTGTTAATTTGTCCGGATATGTGAAGCATCCGTATACCTGAATTACCAGTTAAACAAGACAAGGTTTAAAAAAATAAATGATATAATTACATACACTGTAATATGCCATATAAAGATTCAATTTTGGCATTATTAGCTAGGGCGCTGAGATTGCTGAAATATTCTGTAAATATTGCTTACAATTTATTAATGACATATTTTTTTAATACATGTGTAATGACTTTTTAGAATGAGCATTATATAATTGCTAAAATTGCTCCTCACTAAATATTTAGACCAATCATGAAGTATAAATTGTTAAATTTGCTTCTTGCTAAAATTTTTATTTATATGATATGCTTGTTTTACCATCTTGCCACTCTTTGATCTACCTGTATTTGTTATTCTGAGCTTTAAAGCTGTGTATTTATAGGTTGGCATAGTGGGCAGGACAGGGGCAGGTAAATCCTCTCTGACTGTTGCCCTGTTCCGCTTGATTGAGTCTGCTGGAGGTCAAATTGTGATAGACGGTCAGCGGATTTCTGACATGGGTCTTCATGATCTCAGGAGCAAACTAACCATTCTACCTCAGGTAACACATCCAAGCTAGTTCTTTAACCCTTTAAACTTTTTTTCTTTTAGGTAATTCTGTGAGAGAGTACCGGTAATGATATGATGAGATAAAAACAATTTGTTGGAAATTTTTTGTACAAGCATGCTTTTCCCTCTTTTATTTACTGTAAACATACTTACCTGTATTTCCACTCTATACATTTTAATAAATTTTCTCAGAAAACTTGTGACACTGCATGCACATTGCATATATATTAATCACAAGTGGAAAAATGTATGTCTGCAGTATTTTTAGCTCACCTCGACGAAGTCGAGATGAGCTTATGCTATACCCCCGGCATTGGCGTCGGCATCGGTGTTAGCATTGGCGTCCCAGGTTAAAGTTTTAGGAGCAAGTCCATTTTTTAGCCCTACCTGAACCAAACTTGCATGGATGATGCATCTAGGGATGTACACTATAGATACACACACACACACACACACCCTCACACACCCACACACACACACCCACACACAAGTGCATTATCCCAATGAACTTGAAGTCCTTGATATCTGCAGTATTAACAAATTTATGATATTTGTTTACACTATACATGTTTTTCACACTACATGCTTAGAAATGTGTATATGCCCTGTAAGGGGTTAAACACAACTTGCATTGTTGTTGGGATAAATACTAGATATTAAGAAAATATGATGTAAGATTTGCATTACTTACACTGATAACATTCGTCGAGGTAAGCTTCGTAATCTTTGATTACCTATGTTTGTGTAAACCAACTGGATGCACCAAAAAATAATCTATGCTTATACACTGTACATGTGTAAAATTTTCCATTCAGTTTGATCTGTCTCTTACAATAATACCATGATCCAGAAGTCTCTTATGTGATATAGCAGACAAGTTTTAATAAAAACAATTTGATTATAAAGTTTAATGTACATAATTGCTTCTTAAATAATTTATTAAAGATTTGATTTCTGTATATATGCAATCTGTCACAGGATCCAGTATTATTTTCGGGAACCCTGCGTATGAACATTGACCCCTTTGATGTGTACACAGACAGACAGATCTGGGATGCCCTGGAGCACTCCCATCTGAAGGCGTACGTAGAGGGGCTCCCCGAGGGACTGCAGCATGAGTGTGGGGAAGGAGGGCAAAACTTAAGGTCAGTTTGGAAGGAAAATATAGAGAAAATAAAGAAATAAATTCAAGAAAGAGAAATTGTTTAATTCTTAAGAGGAAAACAATTGAAAATGAGACCAGATGAATATGAGGCAAATATTTGACGTTAAAAGCAATGAATTGAGATGGATTATTTCTAACTCTTAAGAATCCTAAACTATTTTTTGTTTTATACCATATTACCTGTTTGTTTTTGTAGCATTGTAGATGTACATGTACAATGTATATATTTCGTATGTATGTATTTAGGCGTAAGCATTATTTTTGCATCCTGTATGAATTTATTTTCGTTGACATTTTGCATTAATTTTCATCTGCAGTGTTGGCCAAAGACAGCTTGTTTGCCTAGCCAGAACCTTACTGAGGAAAACCAAAATTCTGATCCTTGATGAAGCCACAGCAGCAGTTGACATGGAAACCGATGACCTCATCCAGAAAACCATCAGGACAGAGTTCAAGGACAGCACTGTGTTGACAATCGCCCACCGACTCAACACCATCATGGATTATGACAAGTATGTATAGTATATCCGTAAATGAATATGGATTAAATCCCAGACATCTAACAGAGTTGTCTCTATATGAAACACTGGACATGATCCTTCCCCATAATTCATGAAAGTCATGTCCATTGAACTCAAGTTAAATTATAACCTGAATAAGATGATAACTAGAAATATTGATGCATGTCCCAGGCAGTTAGTAAAACTTTCATCAGAGTTAGTATATTATCTCTAATTTTGGCATTATTAGCGAGGGTGCCGAGATCGCTAAAATTGAATATCGCTAATAATTAACTGCATTGAATTTGTAACAGCTTCTTTAGTGTGAATTTTAAAATTGCTAAAATTACATCTTGGTAAAATTAAAATACCAATTTTTAAGGACAAATTGCTAAATTTGCGTCTCGCTAAAATTTCCACTTATACTGTATGATCCAAGGTAACCGCAAGACTTTTTGTTGTTTTAACCCTTGACGTTATTGTAGAGTGTGAGTTGTGTAACTAAAATATAATACAGATTTGAAGGATGCAGAAGAAAACATGAATTTATTTTGTTATAGATCCATAATCCTTATGCATACATGATAGATTTTAAAATTTTCTTCACAGGGTTCTAGTCTTGGACCAGGGTCTAGTCAAGGAGTATGACAGCCCAGAAAATCTCCTGAAAAACAAATCCACTGTTTTCTATGGAATGGCCAAGGATGCCAACCTAGTGTAACTGCAATCCAATACCAATTTTGGTTCACCTGAAAAACTCTCGTACACTACACCAGTGCTACCAGTGCACCTTTAACCATGGTTTACCAGTCGAAGAGTAAATTGACCATGTTAAGCCGTATATGAAAGACCAAACCAGAATGCATTCAATTCAGAGGAGTGTTTTTGTTAGTTATACAGTATAATGATTTTTTTAATTATTTTTTTTTCAATGTCAATTGTGTGTTTCTTCCTTTTTTTGTTTTTTTTTAAACTAGTGAGTTTTAGGAAATGGAAAAATTTCATTTACCAGTCATATACCTAGAGTCGGGTAGTTAGGGTCTTTATAATCATATTAGGTAAGGTTTTAATATATTTGTTATGTATAATAGCCCAAAAATCTTAAATCGTTTCAATGTGTGTGTAATTTTAAAGCAAATTGAAAATATGCAGAAAAATAATATTTTGAAGTATTAAATTGAAGTTAGCATGTATTTGGAAATGGTAGTGATTTTGTTCTTAGATATATATTTATTTTGTTATGGTTATGATAATCATCATCTATAGCTCAAAGGTTGTGTGAAAATTGTAATTAAGCATAAACCTTTATTTTTCATTGGGTCCAGAATCTTAGATTTTAGGAAAAACTGCAATGGGAATGGTTTTCATATTCAGGAAAGTTTGAGAATCACAGCATTCCAAACTGAAAATTAGGTCAAGTGTACATTTCAATCAGCCATTGTTTACACAGATTTATATAGAAAACATTTTGAGATTTAAGAAGACACTCCAAATTATTCTCTAAATTTCTTAATCTTAAGAATTATAACAATAAGTTATTTAGATAAGTAGAAACATGTCTGAACAGGAAATTATTGCTGCTATAAATATATTTTTTTTTCAAAATTAAGTGGTTTTGAGAGAAGATCTTTCTTAAAAGTACTCTTTTAAAATGTTGTATGGTTCTCCAAGAAAAAATTCTGAGTAAACCAAATCAGCATTCATGAATTCATTTTTATACCTATTGAAAGCAAATCATGTTGGAGGCATATCCTTAGGGTAGATACATGTATCAGCATATTTGGCCTTCTGTCTCAAAGTATGAGTTGTATATTTTGCTGAAAAGGAAAAAAAAAACGGAACCATTATAACTGACCCAAATAATGCTTAGATTTTGATCACAATATACATTAAAAATGTGAATTCATGGCATTGGTCATAGGACTAACATTATGATTATACTAAATGATGAGAGTATTTTGACCTTGAACCAGTTTCAGTTAGCCAGGGTCAAGAAAAAAGATACTGACAATGTTGATTTCTTAATAATAGGGGTGACATAAGTATATTTAATATTTTAATCTATATTTGCCTTGTATTTGTTCTGTTGGAGGTTGGGTGGGGGTTAAACCCAAAAGCAGAACCAAGTCATATACTCAGTAATCAAGATGCAGTATCCTATAGCAGATTGTCCAAGTTACCCTCTGCATTGGTTACTTTAAGAGCAACAGGGTGAAAATAGTCTTAGTTTCTGTTAGCAATATTATATTCATGATATAAAACAGTTAGAATATAGATAAAGATATGAAATATTTTCTCTTACATGTAATTACATTTAATTTTTTGTGCCTTTTACATTAGAATACCATTTGATCCTTTTTCTTATTTTTACAAAAAAAAAAATTCTACAAATATGCATACAATTTGTCTCTTGTGCCATCTAAGGACCTTCTTTCTGTGTTTTGTTTTCAGATTTTATCTATTTAGTGCATGTGTTTTGTTTTGGTGTTTTTTTCATTCCTGTTTAGGTGTTGTGTATACAATGTATTATATTGAGATGTCTATATTTATAACCTACATGGGTGTATTATATTTGTATAACATTATGTTATGATTTGAAAAAAAAATCATAATGCTTTTGAGTAGAAGCTTGAATATTTTTTTATTTGATATTGTACATGTATATATACTGTAGAGACACTTGTATTCTTATAAGTATTTGATATTTATTTATCAACAAAATTAAATTTAATAGTAAATAAGGATTGAATACTTAATAATAAAGCTGAGAAAATTGTCAAAGCTTTAATTTTATTTTGTTACATAGAAAATATAGAATGAAAATGTTCATAAGCATCTACTTTCTTCAAGCTATTGAAACCTAAGTAGTTAAGCTCCTTTTGAAATCAGAGAATTTTAGCTTTTAATTTTCTTTGTATTTTGTATGCAAATCTATCTTTTGCTGTTCACTCTTTAAAGATTTGAATTTCTAAGTAAATCTTGAAATTGTGATATGCATCTGTAATACCCCCCCCCCCCCCCAAGAAAAAAAGAAAAGAAAAGAAACTTACAAGAGCCACCCGTTATGGTTTTATATTTGTCTATGATGATAATGTAACAGATCCTGCCTTCCAACAAAAAAAAAATCCAAACGAGAGTTTGTCTGTAGAGACGACAATGTCAGCAAATTGAACACACCCTGTAAATGTAAGCAATGTAAAGTCACATGTTTTCATGAGTTCAATTTTTCATGGTTGAAGAAGAAAAATTTGTTCATATGGAGCCGAATTGATGGTTGAAGTATTATATTTTGAACTGAATTGATGTATTTTACTTTATATGGTGAACACTTCCAATGAATGAATTGGTCTTTTCATACCTTGGACAAAAGAACACGAATAATAACTCACGAGGATTAGGAATTTTAATATGAAAATGTGTTTGGTGTATTCTCTGTCATATGATTGAATCGGTGACGGAGTATGGTTTTTGAAAGGGGACAGCCAGAGAAAAAAATGTCAACTTGCCTGAAAAAAAGGAAAGTCCACTGAGCTCATTTTCCTGGGTTAAAAAAAAATTATTTCGCGTTATAACGCGAAACTTTGGCGAATAAGCGCGTAACTTTCGAGTATTAGCGCGCAATTTTCGTGAATAGTGCGTTTTTTTTTGCGATTTAACGCGAAAGGTTCACGTTACATCGCGAATAGGATAGATTAGTCATCAGATTATTATTTCAAATCCTTACCAACTGATAAAATGAATATTCCCGTAAAGATTATCATCTTTTTCACATATTAAATTCATATACTTCAGTGAGTCTTTAGACTGATTTTTTTTTTCAGGAAAATCTCAACTAACACTTTTTGCAAACTATTTTTTAGGTCACCTGTGTTACAATGCTAAATGTCATAACAACGCGAAATGTAATGAACCTGGATTATTACATTTCTCGTTATTACATTTTGCGTCGAGATCAACGCAAAATGTAATAACGCAAAAGTAATGACACGATTTTTAGTTTATTTCATTTTGCGTTATTACATTTTGCGTCGAGATCAACGCAAAATGTAATAACGTGCTTTTTCCTTGTTACATTTTGCGTTATTTTATTTTTACACTAAAGTCAACGCAAAATGTAATAAAACAATATGTAATAAAACAAAATATAATTCATCTTTTTGACTGCGTTTAACAAAAAAGATCATAAAATTGATTCAAATATATACATGAAACCAATATGGGAATCATGATGTAAAAATATTTAGAACTAAAACAATGAGACCAACGTTAGGGCTTTTACGGACATCTAAATGTATGTATCGTTTTACTGACTCTGATTTTAGTTATATTGAATACTCTGTACTTAATTATTAATTTAACTTTGATTGGCATATTTGTGATAGTCTTATTAAATTTATAACCAATAACACATATTTAATTACCAAAGATTGACCATAGGTTCATTAAAAGCTCTTGATATGCATGTTCGGCATGTATACATTGGTTAAAAATTAGAAGTGTATGTGTGTGTCAAGCGAGGAGGGATTACGTATTTTTGTATTGCTTTGGGCATGCAGAAACAATCCATTTTATCATAGGATGAAAAGAAAGAGAGAGATAGAATTTGGTTTTTGCTTGTCTGCAATGCTGGAGGTTTGCATGGAACAGTATGGTATCATTATTGTCAATAAACCCCTTCCTGCTATACATTTACAACTGCCAGTACAGATGAAAATGTCTTTAGATTCATTGGCATCAAGAGGCCCATGGGCAGAAAGCACCATTCTGTTCTTTACCCACCCTTGTTTTTATCCCCACCCTACCCCACTGATCATAATTTAGACATTTTGAAATCTACACTAGCCCATGATCCTTCCACGTGCACATAGAGAGAGATCAAAGATTTTTCCTATATATTTCTATGTAAAACTTTTTTGCTTCCGTCTGCAATGGGGGTCATGCAATTTAGAATTTACACTACCCAGAATGCTTCCACATAAGCTTCACTTTTTCTGGCCCAGTCTTGAGAAGAAAATTTTCAAAGATTTTTCTATATATTTCTATATAAAAAACCCCTTCCTGCATGATACAATTTTTACACTAACTGCATAAGTTTCAGCTTTTCTGGCCCACTTGAGAAGAAGATTTTCAAAGATTTTTCCTATATGATAATGTTTTTGGCCCAGTGGTTCTTGAGAAGAAGATTTTTTGCATTTGTCTATGCGAGGGGATATGTCCCTTCATTTTAACAATTTAAAAAAAGCAAAAGCACACGAAAATGTGAAAAGTTTGACAAAATGTGATCAGAAAAGCTCACTTGAGCCTTCGGCTCAGGTGAGCTAAAAAAGCAAAAGCACACTGGTCAATACCCCGAACAACCCTGCCCACAGATGCACGTTTCTACTTTGCAACACCTATAATTTGAATACATTTATTAAATTGATTTTCAATGCATATAGCTATTTAAATCAATATATTATAAAATTTATTAATTTCAAGAAATTACATTCATCTATTTTTTTGTTGTTTTTTTTTTCTTTTCATTGTTCATTACACTATTGAAAATTGTACTCAATCTGGCTGACGGAAAAAAGTGTGTTATTACATTTTGCGTTCCTGCTTTTTGCAAAATCTCGACGCAAAATGTAACAACGCAAAATGTAATAATCGAAAAATAGTGATATTACATTTTGCGTTATTACATTTTGCGTTGATCTCGACGCAAAATGTAATGACGCGAAATATAATAATCCTAAAAAATGTGTTGTTACATTTTGCGTTATTACATTCTGCGTTGAATTCGACGCAAAATGTAATAATGCAAAATGTAATAATCAGGTTTATTACATTTCGCGTTGTTATTACATTTCGCGTTGTAACACACCTGAGTCACAATGTGACCTATTGTTATCCGTTTTCGTCCGTCGTCGTGCATCATGTGTTAACATTTGAACATTTTCAGCTTCTTCTCAAACCACTGAACCGATTCCAACCAAATTTAATATACAGCATTTATGGGTAAAGGGGAGCAAAAATTTTGAATGTCATGTTTCTTGCCCCCCCCCCCCCCGGGGGGCCTTTGGGGATGGGGCCAAAACCACTAAAATCAATGCAATTTTTGAAAATCTTCTTTTTTACTCCTGGACATCAAGCAGTCAAACTGTTGGCATGAATGTAATGAGCATTAAGTCCTCTAACAAAATTGTGAAATTCATGGCCCCAGGGTCAGGGGTTCTAGTGCTAGGGCGGGGCTATATAGATTGTATAGTGAAAATGCATTATTTCTTTGAAAATCTTCTTCTCTCCTCGTGGGCTTTAAATAAACAAACTAAGTTAATAGTTATGATAAGCAAGAAAGACTCTTCCAAAATTGTGAATTTTATGGCCCCAGGGTCAGGGTTCTGGTGTAAGGGCGGGGCTCTATTGATTATATAGTGAAAAAAAAATTATTTCTTTGAAAATCTTCTTCTCTGCTCCTTGGTATTAAATAAACTAAGTACATAGTTATGATGAACAAGAGTGCCTCTTCCAAAATTGTGAATTTTATGGCCCCAGAGTCAGGGGTTCTGGTGTTAGGGCGCGTCTTTATTTATAATATAGTGAGAAAAAAACATTATTAGGGTCACCAGAGTAACTCAGGTGACCTATTGCTATTCGTTTTCGTCTGTCGTCGTCCGTCGTGCGTCGTGTGTCGTGTGTTAACATTTGAACATTTTCAGCTTCTTCTCTGAAACCACTGAACCAATTTCATCCAAATTTGGTATACAGCATCTATGGGTGGAGGGGAACAAAAATTGTGAATTTCATGGTCCCCGCCCCCCTGGGGCCTGAGGGGTGGGGCCAAAACCACTAAAATTAATCAAATCTTTAAAAATCTTCTTCTTTACTCCTGGACATCAAGCAGGCAAACTATTGGCATGAATGTAATGAGCATTCAGTCCTCCACCAAAATTGTGAAATTCATGGCCCCAGGGTCAGGGGTTCTAGTACTAGGGCGGGGCTCTATAGATTATAAAGTGAAAATGCATTATTTCTTTGAAAATCTTCTTCTCTGCTCCTGGGTATTAAATACACTAACTAAGCATATAGTTATGATGAGCAAGAGTGCCTCTTCCAGATTTGTGAATTTCATGGCCCCAGGGTCAGGGGTTCTGGTGTTAGGGCGGGGCTCTATAGATTATATAGTGAAAATGCATTATTTCTTTGAAAATCTTCTTCTCTGCTCCTGGGTATTTGATAAACAAATTAAGCACATAGTTCTGATAAGCAAGAGTGCCTCTTCCAGATTTGTGAATTTTATGGCCCCAGGGTCAGGGGTTCTGGTGTTAGGGCGGGGCTCTATAGATAATATAGTGAAAATGCATTATTTCTTTGAAAATCTTCTTCTCTGCTCCTGGGTATTAAATACACTAACTAAGCACATAGTTATGATGAGCAAGATTGCCTCTTCCAAAATTGTGAATTTTATGGTCCCAGGGTCAGGGGTTCTGGTGTTAGGGTGGGGCTCTATAGATTATATAGTGAAAATGCATTATTTCTTTGAAAATCTTCTTCTCTGCTCCTGGGTATTTAATAAACAAATTAAGCACATAGTTATGATGAGCAAGAGTGCCTCTTCCAGATTTGTGAATTTTATGGCCCCAGGGTCAGGGGTTCTGGTGTTAGGGCGGGGCTCTATAGATAATATAGTGAAAATGCATTATTTCTTTGAAAATCTTCTTCTCTGCTCCTGGGTATTAAATACACTAACTAAGCACATAGTTA